GGAATGGAATTTTGTTGGATGCCAGTTGTTATGCTTCAGACTATTTTGCGTCTGTAATTAATGAAACACTCGAAGGCAATATGTAATTCATTCTATTAGCAACGAATATCATTTCTATCGCATACTGAATTACAGGATATATCGCGATCCCATATCAACCGTCGCGTAACAAGGTGGAATATTTTAATAATAAACAGGAAAATTCTCGGCTGCGTATTTTCTGTGTGTGTGTGCGTGTCGCTTTTTGGTAGATTTAAACATCAATACGAGACGATAATGCTGTTAATTAAATAAAACGCTACCCGGTGCAACGTGAAGATTTGCATTATATTTTTATCTGGTTCGATCTCTCGCTCTCGATTCATTTTCAGATGCACGCCGGATAGATTAATTTCGAAGCGGTTTAAATTGCTTGTTAACCCGTGTAAAATTTATTACTCGCGTAGTGGCCACCCTGCTGCACGAAAAAACGATATCGGAATAATTCGTACACTTGAGATAATTGTATGTTTTATTTTACCTTATGAATGTTTTTTAAAGAATTATTTTACAAATTTTTCATCGTTATCACGTTATTCATATTGGTTAATTTTTGCACGTAAATATTTCCTTTGAGCACAGTCGGAAGGGAAAAGGCAGAAAAAACGATGTAAAGGGTTCGTGCGCGCTCTCGCGAATCGATACGGAAACGACAAAAGGGATGTGTATCGATGATGGACGAAACACGGTCTCGTGCACCTGCACGACGAGTTGACCCAGTTCCTCCTCTTCGTTTATAATTTGAACGCAGAAGAAGGCGAACGCTTTACTTTCAGATCTCTTTCTCCGCGTGGACTCAGATTAATCTCTCTTTCTCTCTTTCTCTCTTTCTCTCTAGTTAGTTGGAATCGAATTAAAAACCCTGACGCGAAACGTAATCAATATCTGCAGTTTCATACTTGCTGACAAAAAGGAAAGAAAAAACCCTATGATCGAGTAGACGCAATTACATGGTTGTTTTATGTGCAACTTATTTGTCCTACATCTTCGACGAACCCTGTTTAGTTTATTCAACGAAATTTTGAAAAAGAAGGAAATTTAAAGGAGAAAGAATTTCGATGCACGCAAAATGTTTCCTAAGAGTAGTCATCCGTTTTCTTATTAACGGTATTGAAGCAAGAAAATTAAGACTATCTTTAAATTAGCCACCATTTTATCGTAGTAAACCGATAAAAAAGTAATATCGGTTATTTCGATATTTTTTTCGTTTTACCTTTTTAAAGAAAAATCCAGGCTAAAGTACAATTATTTTCACGCGGAAGCGATCGCGGTCGGTATTATCCGCAATAAACGTTGCACGCTGGAGTAATGGCGGCCACTTATTCTCAAATCATCTGAATTACGCGTGTACCTTCGAAACCGGCGTGTAGAACGTCAATCGGAAAAGGCACGAGCTATGTAAATCGACGAGAAATATTTACGTCTGAAAATAATCCAACGAGCATAGTCGAACTATGATCGCTTTATCGCTGTATTTACACCACTGTAAATCTTTTTACTGCCACTGATTCTTTCTTTCCTCCTTTTTTTATACTTCTTTTCCCCTCTCCTTTTCTCTCCAACAACATCTACCGCCCTCTTTTCTTCAGCCTTCTACTGCTTTCTCCCTCTGTTTTGTTTTCATAGAACTAAATTCATTTTATTGGTCGGTTGGACCAACTGGATGAAACATGAACACAGCCGCTGAACGCTGACTGCATTTCTTTTTTTCTCTTTTTTTTTCATGTCACCACATTCTGTTCGCGTCACTTACCGGTGTTAAAATACATAATGCACGATAAGGATCTCTCCTGCCGAGAATTAGTCGTGTTCCCGCTCGTTGATCGACATCGTTACATTCACGAACCTCTGTTTTGTAAACAGTTAAAACGTAACCTAAAACAATCACGAGACGCCTGATGAAAACTGATGATGTTTTGAAAATTCTGTTTAAACTTTTGTTTTAAGCTTTTCTAAACACTAAAAAATAGTTTTTTTTTTATAATGTACCTTTTTGTGATACACGATTGATGGTGTTAATTTTCATGTAGCTACAAATTTTGAATGACAGTTCGCATGACCGCATTCTCTCCGTTTTTTGGCGGGATTAACAAATCAACGGAAACGTGGAAAGAAGACGCGAAGACGGTAACTCAGAATATAAACAATGCTACCATGATACATGTTTACTTTCGGATAATTTTTGGACGTGGGCCAGCGTCGTTTCACGCTCAGCACGTCAATTTCGTACTGGCAAGCAGCCGAAATTTTCGTCAAACAGATGTCCGAATGACTGTTATTATCCGCTTGTTAGAAACAAGAACGGAGAATGCTTAATCTTGATGCTAGTGATGCCCGCTATAAATGAAACACTGTTGTCAAATTTAATAACCAACTCTTGATATGTCAGATCGATTTATATTCACATTTCCCGCGCGAATATGTTCTATGGAAATGCACCTCAACGATCATATTGTAGATAATGTTAACCTATGCAAGTTCAAACAATGAAAATTCATAATTTCGAATTCATAAGGAAAAAAATCGACTTTTAAATAGTGCGATTTAAATATTTTATATAACCGTTTCCGGTTTGGCCGTCACGGCTAACGTTACTTTATTAATATGTATTAATGCAATTTATTATAATATCGATTTTGCAATAAGAAATCGATTTTAAAATTTGTTGAAGAAAATGGAAGTTTTGCTGACATGTTTAATTTTTGCTACTCTCCATTAAAGTTTATCAAATGTAGCCTATGGATGAATCAAAATGATATAACGACCGATATAACACATAGAAGACAATTTATTTAGAATCATCAAATCGTTGAGTAGAAGAGCTCACATATTAACGTCGCGACCAAATATACGCAAACTGTGAGTAGTAGCTGAATTAGAGTCCGATCGTGTCAACACCGAACGAATAGACGTGGCAACGTTGTACGGACGAGTTTAGTAGCCGGCTAGCCAAAGCACGGAGTAGCCGACCGGTGGAACGTCCGCACGTCCGGGAACGACCTTCCTTTACTCGTCTCGTGTCGAGGAACCTTACCTCCCGGACTGCCAAACAGTTCTTTATCTCCTTTAAACCAAGAATTTTTTATCTACATAGGAATTTAGATCTGCTATATATTTTTCTCTGTTGTGGATACCAGATGTCAAAAAACATTTTTTTTAAGATTTTTGAATACATTTTTTTTTTAAGTTTTAACATTAATATTTCTGTCTCGGCATATAACCATATGAAGTCATTTAAGTAGAACGATATTGTGGATATATTATTTCAAATATTTACATAATTTTCTATTACTTATCGAGATATTCATGCGAGACAATGAATAGTTTAACATCTAAATTATCTCATAACAGTATGCATTCAACCTCAGAAATTCTCTTCGCAACCTGTAAATTAATCGAAAATATAATTGTGGTACCTACTTTTTTTGAAATGTATATTATACGTCAGGGATTTATTCAATTAATTCACCTCAGCTACGAGGAATACGTATGTAATCTGACCGCGGTACACGTCCTAGGGGGTTTCACTTCGCAGTTGGCACACGTGCGCAGGTAGAGTATGGCTTTTGCTAGGTGGTAGTTTTTTACACCGCGAGCTCTAGTGGCTTTTTCCCATCGTTTCTTTGGTAGCCAACCGTACCATTGGTAGAGGGAGAGAGAGAGAGAGAGAGAGAAGAGGGGAGGAAGATGAAAGAAAAGAGCGTGAGCGGGTACACGGTTATCGGAAAAGGAAAGTAATACCCGAGAGTCGCGAAAGAGAAGTCAGGGTTCGGGCTTCGTTCCTTCCAGCTGGCCTGGCACAGCAAAGGAGGCCTTGTCGCGCGGCTGCTCGTTCGGTCAATGTCTTCTCTTTCTTCCTCGCTCTTCCTCTCTGCCTTCCTCGTCATCCCCTTCTCCACTCTTTTCACCCCCCACTATCTACTCGATCCACTTTTTCCCTTTACCTCTACCCCGCTCTCTGCCTCTTTCATTCTCCCCACTATTCGTGTGCTGCATCGCGCACACGATACACGGTGCTGCCTGTGAATCCTGCTGTCATCTTTGCAAACGCCCGTCTGTCTTAGAGCCTCGAATTTTGAACGAAAATCAGTCTATCATCGACGTATATCCGACGGATATTCTCTCGTTCAGGAACGGCGGAAACCGCGTTTATCGCGATAACGGTATTTAGGTGCACACAGAGGGAAACCGAGAAAAAACGAGGAGGAGGGGGGCAGAGCGCCACCCGTTCAGAAATGTGCACTGACATCGCGGTTTAAAGGCACCGACGGAAAGGCGTTCTCATACGCGGCTGCTTTTTCTACTGTGCGCGCACCGTGTTGAAAGTTTCGCTTCGCGCTTCTTACGCGAGCTGACGATTCGTCGACGTGTTCGACTTGTGATGAGAAAATAGATTTTATCCAATTTTTTCCCCTTTTTTACGCCGGTGTGTAAATCTATGGCAGAAATCGTGTGGCAGTGTTTACCATACGTGTTGAACATATAATCGTTTGCTGGTTGGTCGATTTTTGTACGTGTTGAATGCAAGCGAGATCAACGATACATCGATATATTGGTCTGTTTATATTGGATACAATGTATGATCACAAAGAATGAAATTTGATTATTTTAATTCGCGCTAGTGAAATTAACGATTGCACGGAGCCTATAGCGAGGATTATGTTACGTTTATCGCGACACCCGCTTGCAACAGCATCATTGGTTTCATGTAAATAATGACTGTTCTCTTAGAATGTAATCTTACGTTCTTAAAAATGTATGTTGATTACTCCCCGAGTTCATTGCATATTTTTAAATTGTTTTATTGTTAAAAAATCATATTTGTTTTTTGTAAAAAGTGAAAAACTCAGAATTCAAAAGTGAATTTTTTTTTTAAGTAATTCAAGTGAAATTCATTCCTGGAATATTTTAAAAATGTGTTATTATGCAAAAATATAACTTGAACTTTTTTATGATTACAGAGTGCAATAAAGCTAGCTGGTAAAAATAATGTCAAGAAGTTACATACGCTACTATCAATAGTGGAAGAGAAACCAAAAGTGGATACAGGACAGAATAATAGACACAACGAGCATCACATCAAAAACCATTTCAAGCACAACCATTATTCACACAATTCCATACTGACACCTTCGACGATCAACCAGGTAAGTTTTAGAGGCTCAAAATTTCATTAATGATTCAGTGTAAAATAGAAGTTATTTAAATGTACTTTGCTTAATTTGCAGGGCCTAGATGCAGGTACAAGTGACGATAGTGGTAGAGCATCTGAACAATTGCATGGCCCTGGTATACCTAGGGATTGCCAGGACGCTGACAGTTCCAGGGACCACCTCAGCGATGTAAGTAATGCTAATCATAAAATGATTATATTCTATAATCTTCAATCTTTCTAATACATAATGTTGAAAAAAAACTTGAGTCTTGAACCAATTCTTATTTTTGTGCAATTTTTACTGAATTTGCAGGCTAGCAGTCATTGCAGTTCGGGTAAAGGATACATCGTAAGTATTTACAATATAGAGATAAAAACATTAGTTACACTTGTTAAAAGCTGTTGTAATAATTTCCTGTTATTTTCTTCTGTTATTACAGTGTGATAGTGAAGGAGAAGACGATAAGGTAAGTAACAGTTTTACAAACAGTATATACTCCAAAGTATAATGATTAAACATTATTCTTTATTTTAGGGCTCGGATGCTGAATCGATACTCTTTGAATCTTCTACCCCACCACCCCTTGCACGTAAATGTACGTAGCGTTTAAATTCGTAACACGCTTTCGTATTATAAATAATTATCTGAAATCAATTTTTATCTTGTAGACGAATTGCCATCGTCTTCACCACACGTTTTGCCTCCAGCAAACGGGGCAGGAGGTTCACCTCCAGACACGGGTGGACAAATTTCTAATCCAGCAACGGATGCTCCGGCACCTATACCACCTCCTGTGCCTGCGTCTGCACCAGTTCCAACAGCGCCAAGTCCTCCCAGTCCTACTCTACCCCCCCACATATCCCAGCCACCTGTAAGTAAATGTCTGTCATTTTTCACGTCGCCATCTACAAGCGTAATATACATCCAATTGAATGTATTTTCAGATGACTAGTCCATTGGCAGCAAACCCACGTGCAATAGCTCCGCAACAGCGGCCAGCTTCCCCTGCTCTGCCACCTCCCTCCTTATCCCAACAGCCTCACACTACAATACCCGCGTTACATCCACCGAATGTACCCCTCGTTTCGTCGAGTCATACAACTAGTCCTGCGGTAGCCAGTTTAGGTGTTACCCCAGCAGCACCATCAAACGGAGCTACAACTACGAGCTATCCACCATCGATACCCATGGCTGCTTATCCTCAAACACAACCATCTTATCCACCCCTCTATACACCGTATACTGCTCTAAATCACAGTCCATACCTTCCACCTGCAGTTCCGTCTCCCTCCCATTCTGCTTCTTCACGAGCGGAAGTGGTAAGTCGCATAATTTTACATACTTGAGGTTTTTGTTAAAGATTTGAAGTATTTGTGTGAAATGTTAACGCTAATAATTTTCCTTTGTAGAGAGGAAGTAGAGCTTCCCCGTGTACTAACATAAGCAAACAACAGCCTATAGGAAATAATACCACAAATCACAATACTCCTCTAAGCGCTGCCACTACAACATGCGTGTCTACGATAACTAATACTGTTACTACGGCGAATACCATTGCTCACAGAGACATGGTAGCCTGCAGTTTGACTGGAAGAAACAATAATTCACCTCGTGGACATAGCCCGAATCGAGAAAGGGATAGTTATAGGTATACAATCTTGTAATGGTACATATCTATCTGTTTATTGTAATAAGGATCTTACAGTGGTGTTACTTATTATAGCAGTAACGTCAGTAGCCTAAGTCGAGGTAGCATAACGCCTGTAAGTGTGCCAAACACATCTTCTCCAGCCAATTCTAGTCTACCTGCTTACACCAAACCAACGCAAGGATGGATTGGGTATGAATTAAAATCAAAATTACCGAACTCTTTCGTTCAACTAACTTTTTTTTAAAACAATTTTATACATATATATATTTTTTTTCATATATAACTTACAGTAGCAGCACAACTTCACAATTGTCTCCGGCAACAACAACATCAGTTCCAAGGCCGACTCCTCCACCAGTACCACTTGGCATGCACACGTTTCCGCCGCCAATGTTTGCGGCACCGCTACCACCTCCCGTGTCCAGTTCCAGTCCTCACACGTCACTGCCTTCATTACCACCGCCAACGACCAATCCCAATCCATTTTCTGCCGAGTCACTTTTTCAAACAAGTAAGTTTATAAGCTGTATCTCAAGTTTGTATTTGGGTTGTCGAGTTTTTTTAAAGAGTCTTAAGGAAAGAGAGGTAGAAAAGTAAAAGTTCGGAACGAATGAGACACTAACCGAAAGAAGGGGTGACTCATGTCGCAGGTCAGACAGACCTGTTAAGGCGAGAGCTTGACAATAGATTCTTGGCATCCCAAGACAGAAACGTCGGAGTTGGAGTTGGCAATCTGGGACCGCCCCCATATCTTAGGACAGAGATGCACCATCATCAACATCAGCACACTCATGTACATCAACACACGACACCTCTGCTTCCACCGACGGCCGCGACTACTTTGTTTCCACCCCCTATAGTACGTAATGCCTTCTACTGTGTCCACCTTGTCATAATAAACTTTATTCTTCGAACATTTGTCTCTATAAAATAATTTTTTATTCTCAGTTCAAGGACATCCCAAAATTGGGAGGTGTTGAGTCTCCATTTTTTCGTGGGAATCTAAATCTTTCTAGTTATTCTGGCTTTAACGCTGGCCTCCTGCATCCCGGAATTGGCCCACCTTCAACTCCTTTTGTACCTCCGAACCATTTAACATCATTTGCACCAAAGGTAATTCTTTTATCAAATATGAATTAAAAGATCTATGAATCAGCTAGTTTCTTACACAGAAATGTGATGTATTTAATTGCAGAAGAGTGGGAAATGGAATGCAATGCACGTACGCATAGCCTGGGAAATTTATCATCATCAACAGAAACAACAAGCGGAAGCAAAGGCGGGAAGTGTCGTTAATACTAAGACAGAACTATTGAGACCACCAGGTCATCTTTATCCAGGAGGCCCAGGCAGTGGCCTTGGAATTGGAGCACCTCCTATGGCACCTCCATTCCCGACTAACATACCACCAGCTCACCCTGCCCCACCTCCACCTCATCCTGTTGGTTTCCTGTCTACACCAGCGTCACATTTAGGTAATCTTTCTACAAATCATATACACAGATGATTTTAATTATTACAAATAGAGTGGTTTAATAATGTATGGAAATTGTTACAGGAACAGGTATGTCACCATTTGGAAGATATCCATCAACATTTGGCGCTCCGAATCCGAATTTCCCCGGTCTTTCTAGTTTCCCACCGTCGAGAGAAATGCCACCATTGGGTGGACTCGGTTCTGTGCATGATCCATGGAGAGGGTACGATTTTAATAATTTCTTTGAAAAAGAAAAATGCCTTCACTACAACAACTAACTGTTTCTTGACATTTTTTTTTCGTTTAGATTACAACGAGCCTCTACCGGATTTCCACCAACTACAGCAGTACCGTGGAGTCTAAAACCGGAACCGCCGGCGATTGATAGACGAGCCGAACTCGAAGAACGCGAACGCGAACGTGAGCGCGAACGTGAACGTGAGCGTGAGCGCGAACGTGAACGAGAACGTGAACGAGAACGTGAGCGCGTTAGACGCGAGAAGGAAAGGGAACGAGAGGAACAGCGCGAAAGAGAGAGAAGGGAACGTGAGAAGGAAGAAAAGAGGAAACAGCAGGAAGCTGAACGAGAGAGGGAGAGGAGAGACAAGGAGCGTCGAGAGATGGAACGACGAGAGATGGAGCGTGAAAGATTAATGCATCAGAACCGGCAACACGTGGTCGTGGCTCGAGAACGGTCACCTTTAAGGAATGGATCTGCATCTATTGAGGCTGGAGAGGTACGCGTTAAAGAGGAACCAAGAAGTAAAGACGACGAAGTAGTAATGCTTCCAAGACCACCAGGTCCTGGCCCTGGAGCAGCGTCCACGACAGGGCCCGGTCCAAGTCCACTGCCTGACACGAGGTATCATCATCCTCATCCTCATTCATACCTTGCAAGGCATCCTCACAGCATGCCTACTCCGCATTCCATGCCAAGAAGTATGCTTCCTGGTTTGGGTGCACACCCGATGCAACATTTTCCACCACCGTCAGGGCCTACTGGACAACCAGGTGGCCCTTGGGCTGGAGATCCCTTCAGGGACTACCGTTACGATCCATTGCAACAATTACGTTATAATCCATTGATGGCTGCAGCTGCATTTCGAGCAGAAGAGGAGGAAAGGGCTAAACTTTACGCCGGTTATCCACCACCACCTGTAAATTCACTGAGAAGCAAGGATCCAAGTCCTGGACCGTTAAGTAATCTACACATGCATCATAGAGCTGGACCTGGACCAGGGGTACCAACGCGACAATTAGAGCCAGCCTTGATGCACGCGGATATACACAAAAAAGAGGACACCTCCCAATCCCGATGATACATCCTCCCCGCGTCCTCGGCTTCTGCAACTGAACGCACTAAAGGGTCAGCATTCTGAGCATCTCCGTAAAGTTTCCGAGCCCCTGGTGCTGATATTTTGCTAATGGAGAAGAGGCGTTATTTAAAAAAATTGTACATAGATTATATAATATTTATAGTTATTGAAAAAGTAAGTGCGATGATGAAATACAAAGAAGACGTGTAGGACATTTGAAAGAGTAAAAAACAAACGAAAGAACGAGCGCGGAACGTACTCGTATGAATGATCATTAACGAAAATGCCTTGTTCGCGATCGCGGTGTTCCGTCTAGCTACATTGAGGTTATGTTAGGACGGTTCGTCGTTACAAACAAACCAAGGCATTGATTTAAGGTAATTGTGGTCACAAAAATAAAAAGAAGAAAAACAAATGACGATAATGTTATGTGATTCTCCGCAAGTTTTCGGGGATCTGACTGTTTATAGCGATATAAACTTTAATCATTACGATAACTATGCGTACAGTTTAAAAACAAAAAAAAAGTATCGTGTGTAATATTATAGATATTGTAGAATGCGAGACGATGCTACGTAAAAAAAGAAATCCAAGTTAAGAGAAAAACTTAAGCGGATCTCTAACCATTACTCAAAAATTATTTAATTATTTATTTATTGCGACGTATAAACGAATCTCTACTACTGACGTACGGATACGATCGTAAAACAAGTTGCCCTAATTTAATCGATATAATATAACAAAAAAAAGGTTATGAATTTTCTTTTCTTCATAGAGATTAATTTGTACCATAGGAATAATAGTTAAACGAAAAAACAAATCAAGAGAGGGCAAAAGAACAGGTATCTTTGGCTTTTGGCAGCACACTTTGGCAGCTTGCTTTACCCTTTTTTTTTTTCTTTTAATTTGCATGGAGATTAGAAATGCACTCTGGTGCTTTCCTGTGATATAAAAAGTAAGACCATTCAGAAGCATTGCAATTGTTTTTCACAACGTAATTTGTAAGAAGTAAAAAAAGTGACAAATGCAAAATGTAAATCAAATTCTTTTTGGATAAATTGTAAGCAAAAATGATAACTTGTACTGCTGAAGTACATGTTTGCTGTGAAACAAGAGAGAGAGAGAGAGAGAGAGAAAGAGAGAGAGAGAGAGAGAGAAAACTTTGTATTCGTCGGGAAAAATATAGGATTTGCGAGTAAACAAATACAAAAGCAGTTTGTCCGTGCCAAGGTGCTTTAATCAAAAAACATTTAACGCTATGTAGAGAAAATTGCAACTTCTGATTTTTGTACCTATCGAAATTGAAAAAGAAATATTATTTTGCACCCTTGTTTTATCGTCCTCTCTATTTATCAGCCATATACGTCATGTGACCAGAGAGTTAATTCGAGATCTCTCTTAAAAAGTAAAAAAAAATATTCGTGCCATGGACCAGGTTAAATTCGAGAAACCCTGGTAACGCTAAAATAAAAGAAAGGATACTTACTTCTGTCAAGTAATCAGGCTCTTTTAAACTGTTTCGTTTATACTGTAAAGTCATCATAAAAGTGTATATTATTATATAATTAACGACCATATGCAATTTAAAAATTGTAGATATTTTTCATCGATGCAAGGTTGCAATGTGATGCAATGATTCTGTTCTTGTAGATATCGCGAAGTATAAAAGAGGATTTTGTGTGAATAGGTTTTTTCTAAAATTGATTCTTTGTAAAAGGGTCTAATAATCATAGTTTCTATCAAACCTGTTGTTTCTAGTACTTTTACCAAGCCCGAAACATTTTACAATTCATAAAGACCTCAGAAAAAAGAAAAGAACACATCGATAGTTTATAAATAGACACTGTCATAGAGTACACATTTACAATAAACCAGTTCAAACTTATCGTACTTCTTTCGCGAGATTGCGCTTATACTACGTATTTAATAGCAAATAATATTTCTTCTGAAGTCTTCATGTCATATATTTAATACTATGGTGTGACAATATTTAAAGAATACATTGTTTTGCCCGGGGTTATCAGCCTTCAGGTACCAATCAATAGCAAATATATTTGTCACGTGTGATATTGATATATTTCAAAAGTAAAACTTGCGTGTCACGAACGGCGTCTCAATGCTCCACAAGAACAACGCGTGAATTGCCATATATGAACACCGTTGTAGACAAATCTATTGTTCTTTTTTTTTTTGAGTGCGTACACTTCCCTGTCAATTGTGTTCGAATGAATCGGTAAAAATTGTTTTGCTTAATATATTAAGACGACCAACCAGGATAAACTGTGTTCGGTCAAATTCAGTTCTTATTTTATCGTATGTACAAAAAAGATTGCTATCGAGAACTGCTTGAGCTTGATCTCGTGTAGCGACGGTGCCGATGTCGTGGATTATTTGGGGGACTTCGCGATCGGGTTCTTGGTCTGCGTCTAGGTGGCCGCGGGCTTCTACGACGATTTATGGGTGGCGAACGTCTACGATAACGAGGAGGAGTATTTCGACCGCCGCCACCCCATCGTGGCGGTGCTCTTCTTCCCATCAAAGGTGACATCCTCCGCATCGGTAGTGGTCGTGGTTTTGGTAATAATACTGGAGCAGCAGTGATTTCCTGACCGTCTATTTGTCCTGTAGAATATGATCAGAACATTAATTTGAATAAAATCAGCATCAGTATCTGTTAAGAAGATAATAAGCGAGAAAAATTCGAAATTTTATACTTACCACCATCCATATGTTTCATTGCATTCTCAGCTTCATCTGCCGTTTCAAATTCCACGTAAGCAAAGCCCCGTCCTTGATTAGGATGAAGTTTATCCATGGCAAAATCGACCATTTTTATCTGACCATATGTAGAGAAAATTTCCATAATATGTTCCTTAGTAACATTACGGGTCAAATGTCCAATATGTATTTTTGTTGGTCTAGGAATTGGTGACCTTTCTCTGCGTTTCCTACGTGGTGAGGGTGATCTATAATAAAAATAAAATAAAATAAAGTTGTAAGTAAAAATGAAGCTACCTGTCCACATGTATTTGACCAATGTAATTACCTAGAGCGTCCTTTGGGTTTAGGTTTATCAACCACAGAGTTGCTACTTTTCTTTTTGTCTTTCTCTCTGTCTCTATCTCTATCCCTGTCCCTATCCCTTTCCCTTTCTCTTTCTTTCTCTCTTTCTTTTTCTTTGTTATCATGTCTGCGTGAAGCATCAACACTTTTGCTTCTACTTCGCTTCCTTCCTCTGTCTCTGGAACTCCCAGAAGAACTTGCAGAACTGCTGGAGGTAGTACTAGAAGTGGAACTTGATCTGGAACTGCTTCCACTACTTGTGGTTGATGATCCTGAGCTACTATCTGAGGAACTGTGAAACATTAATAATAAAAGAATACTGCAGATCTGATTTTTATTTAATTAATCTAATTTTATTGATAAAAATCTTGATCGCCTTACCTACTGCCGCTGCTGGACGTAGACGCAGAACTTCGGAGTCGCTTTTGCCCGTACTATCTTTACGACTGCGTGCCCTATGTTCACATGAAAACACCCGGTAACAACGAGGTTATAATTAAGTAAATGAAACGGGATCAAAACAGCGAAAGAAAATTACGCGTTACTTACATCATAATACGGTAGAAATCTCCAGGTTATAGGCGTGGTTTTGGTTCTATTAACGAAAAGAAAACTTTGTTGAACGCCGTGCAAACGCCAATAATGGCGGACGGTGCCGCTAAAAATTCCGTCGCCTTTTCACAGAACACGTTCACGCTGTTAGTTACGTATTAAACTATATTGCATATAAACAATATATAACACCAACAATTAAGAACTTTATTCCATCATCGAATCATAATGGAATAATATACGAAGTTTACGAAACAAAATTACTAATAAAGTGACGCGGCGCTCACGTCGTTATTCCCGCCGGGTTGCGGTCATCATATCACTCGAACCATAAACCTATGAAAATCTAACCGTGACATAAAACGTCCATTTTAAAAAATGTAAAAGTGATTGCAAGATAAACGACACAACCAGTTTTTGTTTTAAAAATATTTCTTTTACAATGTAAGGTCAGTTATATTCCAATTATATCATATTAAAACAACAAATATAAAAATGACAAAATATTATTCGTTTTCACTTCGTATCGTTTTTACTTCTTGAAACAATTATAGGTTCTCTTTATCATAAAGTTAAAAACTGTCTTAACATTCATACATTTGTGATAAAAATATGCATGCAAAGTGTTTATCTATTCTACCTACATACGATTAACTGTGCTTAGTCTACAGTGTTATTATTTAAAAGCAGAAATTATTTGAAAATTATCTACCGTTAACATGCCCTTGCAATTATTTTGTCTTATCGTTGTTTCTACATTTACATGTAGATTTCAACAAGATTCATAAATTGGTGAGGTTATTTATAATCTCTTTTATGAACACACTTATGATACACCGCGCTTTTCAAACTAGTTTTTTCATTGAGATACGACAATTAATGATTTTTACCTCGAGAATACGAATGATATTAGTTTAATAGTCAAATCAAAAATCTTCCAGTACAGTTAGAGTACAATTAGCCTGTATTTCATGAGTTTTATTTTTGTAGATTGCTACAGCGATACGTAAGTACCGAAATGTACATATATGTACATTTAAGTGATCGGAGTGCAATACGGAAAACCGTATGTTTCCTTTGTTTTCGATTTTTTTGGCACAGCTCAATGTAAAGAAGAACAAAAATACATATAACCCGAAAATAAACAGAGAACGAGTAACGCGTTTCATCGATAGCGCTAACGTTGGAAGAAATATTTTTAATAATCGCAGTGTATCGTCTGTTTTTCTTTCTTTCTTTTTTTTATCAAATATATCGAATATTCATCGATGCAACTGTCCCTTTAGCTTGGAAATATTCGATGTTCGATAAGCCCTTTAGCTGAACGATATGTGCTATTTAACAATAATAATTCGATTATCAATTCGTCGTAAGGTAAAGATGGACACGCAATATTTCACGATCACCTTACGCCATTACACGGTTCGCAGTTATTCATTAAGCCTGCATAATTGGTAATATTGGTCTCGCATACAAATACATAATACAGAAATCGACATGCAATTTTCTTTTTAAAAGCGGGGTATATTACAAACTTAACAGTAGCAATAGATATACCAATAAATTTATGCAATGTACATATTACAAAATTGTATGTCCCCCCATATATTTTTTTGTTTTTGTTAACAAAGTCCGTTGTTCTAATCTAGTTTTTTTCTGCATCATTTTGTTCTTTCTTCTATTATCGAGTGGTAATCATCCGGCACTGTAAACACTTGAAACACGCTGGTATGTCATTTTATACTTTTTCGCCTTAAATAAATCTAAAAGATTCTCTTACTACACATCCATTCGTACATCCACTTCCTTTCCGCATTCACATACACTGTTCTCTTTCGTATATCCTTTCTAACTATTCATGTTTTTCTTTCTTTTTTTACACCGTAAAAATTAATTGATCATATTAGTGGTCACATCGATAAAATCATTATTTATAACAAACAAATGAAATCATTGTAAAGTCTTACATTCTTCTTCTTTATTATTTACGTATAAATATTGTTAAATATATGTATATTAAAAATTTGCTACACATTTCACAATTATTTTACACAGAATTTGTTATTCTATCCTGATAATGACTTAAATCGATTAAGTAACTTCTTTTTTTCTCTCTGTTAATTGGACACGAACTTTCTTCTCAGATCAACGAAAATAGGAAACTATACCCAGGCAGGCTCGATTTTCATCCCGCCAGTAACAGTGTTTTTTCGTTTGTGTCTTATTGTGAAAATGAAAAAAGAATCCACGGCTGTGGATCAGAATCGAGTCTGTGTGGAAAAAAATACGCACAAGAATAATCCCTATATTCTTTGATACTCGTCATCTAATCTTGTGTAGTTTTTTATTTCTTTTTTTTTTCTTCTGTTCATAGATAAAGAAGAGGAAAACGAAAGGAACGGGTAAATTTAACCGATGCCGCGCTTCTAAGAAATTGAGTCACGACGTCACGGTATAAAAATCTAAACTGACTTTTTACTGCGTACTAAAAAATAGAATTGTTTGCTGCTAAAGCGAGGCTAAGCTCGATATCGTTAGCAGCGGATGTTATCCGCTTGACGCGTATTACCCATAAGCATTCGGAGTTACTTTCGTTGACGGTCACGTGACTCGATTACTTTTATCGTCAATCGGTCCGACCCCCCTCCCCAAATGAATACGTTTCATCTTGTGTAAATGTCGAGTCAAATTCATCCCTTGTTTTAAACGACTAAATCAAAAAAATATTGCTAATAACGTGACACGACAGTCTTGCGTTGATAGTAGACTCAGTGTTGAATCAAAATTCATTTTCCATCGATCTCTGTGACGTTCCTCATATGTTCAAGGCGGAAATAATAAACCTAATGCATTATCCTCTCTGTTGGTAATTCATACTGGAAAATTATCGAACCACCGATATCCTCCTTTTTTTTACCCGAAGATCTTCTCCATCGATTCTCGTTACATACACTTATGGATACGTTTCAACGTGTATCATCATCGTGTACAGCCCTATCTCCTTCGGGAAAAAAATAATCTTGTTTCGTCCCACGCTTTATCCCAAGTGAAGTACACTCATCCGTGGATTGTGGATTTGCATTTGGACCGGAAGAACTTTACAATATCCTCGCCAACCCGATGTTTAATATCATTCGATTTGTATTGAATGCTTTAACTGCTGCTGCTTCGATCACGAAAGCTTTGACGGATATCTCGTAAGCGGCGTACGTTCTTTCCTCTTTGGAACAAGAGACGCTCAATGTTGTCGGCAATTCTGGTACAATCTCCGTCCAACCGCACGGATGGTGCGGAGAACGTAAAACTGGGCTATACGGATATTTCGTAATTCATGTCGTAGACACTTGCACGGTCCGGTGTTGGCGTCGTGGGCCGCTGTGATCTGTTGTCGTTAGGAGCGGATACCATTTCCATGGAATCTGTCATCTCCAATGCTCTAACGAAGGACATCGGTCTGTGTCGAGTGTCGCCTGACGTTGGAGTTGTTGGCGTTGCCATCGTGGCTTTTCTCTTCACCTGTGGCGACTGATGCGGCGGGAAGACCGGTACTCCTCCCCTCATCGCAGGATGATACGCCGCTCTAGGAGCATTCGCGTATAATTGTTGTGTGGGACTTGTTGGATTGGAACGGTAATAATCGTACGGTAGCGGAGGTCTCTGTGAGGGTGACTGATGCGTTGTTGCGTTCGTCATCCCTGTTGGAGCAGGATAGCTGCCAGGGGAGTTGTCTTTCCACATATAGACACCACGTTGAGGTGAACCGGCTAACTCTCGGATGTTGTCGACAGTATTGTTAGTTCTTGAGCACGAGTGATCGGTACCCTGGCGAACGAGCTCACTTTCTGACAAGAAACGCCTCTGTGGACTGTAACCGGACACGACTGCACCGCTAGCAGCACCACCAACACTGGTATTGGTATTCCCCTGCTGTACATCATAATACGTCGGTGCATCGTTCACTCCTATAAAATCTGGCCGACGAACCTGCGTCGGTGTACCTGGGTTCGATCTGCAAATAGATATGAAACATTTTGACTTCTGTTCTTTTAAGTATAACAATTTGGTAGTTGAATAATAGACAAATGCACAATAAATACAGTGAACCAAGATGAATATATATGCGAGTGCTGAGCATTGTAGCCATACAATATATACGGCTCTGGCGAGACATACAGGAGAGAGAGAACAGCGCATCATTCCTGTTATAATAATTAGCATCTATCCAAGAATAAACGTAAAAATGTAGCGAAAACCTAGGAAAAAATACATGTATGGACATTTACTTGCGTGTTTTTTGATCAATACTGATTACAGTGTAATACAGATATGTATATATATATTTAGAATTGAAATATGCTTCCTATTTCTTTTCTTATTTTTGGTCTTTTAAATATATATATATATAGATATGTATGGAATATACGCAGAGAAAGCATAACTTTAAACTACGATATGTCTTCGTAGGATGAAGTTCGTGTTTACCTGCAGTAGGTTGCAACATGATGGTAGAAGCAGCTCCTTGCAGTTACCACCCTCTGCAGTGGGACACAAACTTATCTATATATCATATATCTTGTAATATGTACATGCAGAGAAACTAATTCTCTACTATATAGATATTATTGTCATCTACAATCGCGCAACGGTATACTTTTCTGTCATGTTCCTTCGTCATTCAGAAGGTGAGAGAAATAGTAGTGATAGAATAAAAGGAAGAAAAAGAATAAGAGCAAGAGTGAGGTGTTTTATAAGTGAGGGATAGGGGAGTCTGATATAAACAGGCGATTCACATCATGTTGATGGGTTGCAAACGGGACATTGAAAAAAAAAAAAAAATAAGGAGACAGAGAAGAGCGTGCTCGAGAAATGCAATGTATAACTATTACTAAATGTGGCGCTTCCCTCTTGCTCTCTACAACAAGATCAATTTCTGTGCAATGTGAAAACGCCGCGACGTACAAGAAAAAAAAAATAAAAAAAATAACGTACATCTAGAAGTTTAATATTCCAAAAGTACTTTATATACGTGTTCACGGAATAGAACAATTATTTAATTATCCTTTATAATACCATACAAGATCGTATCATACTAAACATATATACTTGCAGATATTTAATTTTTCTTTTGAAAAATATTTATTTTGGACTCGTAATTATTCTATTTTCGTTTAAATGCGATAGATGAGCATAGTATACCTGCGAATTGGACTGGAAATAGCAAGTGGAGTTGGTACTCCAATAGCTTTAATCCGTTGCGTTGTTGGACTAGCACCTCCTTGTCCTTGACCTCTTTGGGAAGCTGTGGCGGGTGATCCGCTTGCTTCTGGCGATAATGGATCTGGCGTATGGCTTCGAGAGCCGTTCATTCCCCTATAGGTATTGACAACGTACCTTACGTATATTAGAAAAATCATTAGCAAACGAAACAACATTCACCCATTATTCTTTGTGTTACCTGGGCCTTGGATGAGGGCTGCCCCTGGTGTAGTGCATCGGATGGCAATGTTGTGACGGTGGTGGGTGCCTGGGGGACTCACTGTTCTCCACAGGTGGCAGGAAGAAATTATTTTTTGAACCGTGTCTTTGTAATGGAGGTGTGGGTTCGCAATCCGCGGACTGTGACGCGGTAGGTTCCATATCTGTGTCTGACCCATCTCGTCCAGGCGATAACTAGAAGCAATAATCCAAAACTTGACGATATTGTGTCTTCATTGTAAGAAGAAATTAGTGTTCTAGTGTTACTAGATTATCGTAGCACGCTGTTGTACATTAATAACGCACATTTCTTAGGGGATATTGGCGTTCAATCGGGACTGGTATAGGACGAGGGACTTAACGGAAAATAATTGCATCTGTCCAACGCTGTGAATAAGGTATTATTGAGAGGAAGAATCGTTGCTTGAAATTGAACTCTAAAGAGAGAAATTTGGAATTAACAAAGATGGCGAAACTTTATAAAAAGCGTGCAATATCCTTTTAAACATATCCAAATATGCATTACATCTGCGTTTGGCAATGTACATTTTATTAAAGCTTCGAAGCGCGGCAAGGAATAATGTAGCGCGAATCTGAAAGTCTCTAAAGCAAAGTGAATTACACAGCTATGATGAAACTACATTCAGCTGGTGTGTTATACATCAAAAAAGCGTTAAACATTACATGCTAGAAAGGAAGTGCTATTTACAGTTGTAAATGTCTTCTTGTACGTGGTATCAGAAGTGTGAAGCGAAGTTGCACTAGCTCTTACCTTATTGTAAGCATTTGAACTGGCATTTCTAACACCATTGCTGCTATCCATGTAGGTTTTTACCTGGTTCTCACTGCCTATAGTCGAAATCTCAGATGTAGACATTCCTCGTCGTTTTCCTGAATACTTTTCAGGCTTAATTAAACTGCAACATTATAAATCTGTGATTATTTATCAGTTCAATTTAGTTGGTTTAGAATTATGATTGACTAGTACTTTACCTGGGGTATTGTGGTGCAAATTGCGTATAACAGCAATTGTGTAAGCAGCCATGAGAAAAAGGATTGACGCCATCGGGAAATTTAGCCGTTACTTGTTCATTTGTTGTACGCCCTCGGGAAATAAGTACTATGTGAAAACAGGTTAGTCCAAAGATTGGAATGATCAAAATTGCAACCACTCCCATAAGTACAAGTCTATATAAAATTTAAGGATTATAAAATGTAAGCTTGTATATTGTAATGAAAACATAATTTAACATTTGAAAGCAGTGTCAGAAAAGTTGAAATACTTTCATTGAATTGCTATCATTGATTTAAGAAAAAAGGATACGCAACAATAGTGTCCACTTCACCCAGTTGCTGCTTACGTTCCAATACAAAATATAGGCATAGTCCAAACACACTGAGCATATGAAAACTGAGTGACAAAAGGAAGAAAAAAAAGAATCTATAATTCCTCCTACCAATACAGTTGTTCACCCAAGGGCAATGATGATCAAATGTCTAAAAGTATAGAAAAAAGAATTAAAGTATTAGCTTAAAAAAAAAATTCAAATAACATTTAATACAAACCTCAATACAATGATTGCAAATGCTACAATGTGAACAACGTGGAGGCCTGTAGAATTTGCATGTGCCACACCACTTCATACGAACTGTAATGCCATTGATTTGCACACTTGTATATATAGGAGCTGGATAACTTTTCTCTTGATCCTCATCAGGAAGTGCTTTAAAAGAAAATCACACACTTTGATAAACCATCTTTCACAAGTTTATTTAACAACACCTTGCCAGTACACACAAACATACCTTTTGGTATAAAACCTGGATCCATGAATGTTGCTAGTGTAAAATTTGCTAAAACAAAAAAAATGATGACTCCTTGAAGCACAGGTACCCATGTTCCCCATCGAAACACATAATACTGGCACCTAGAAGATTCAATTGATACATGGTGAACATACGTCTCTGACAAGTCTGACACAGTCTTCAGAATGAAAACAGGAACGCAAACATTGCAGCCACTCGCGAGAAGAAGACAGGCATGTGTGCATAACTTACGGAAAACAGAAGAAGAGTGCCGTGGTGCTGAGTAGGACTGTCCAGGCCAACGTAGCTGGTAGATACCTTGCCTTCGTATTGCATTTCGGCATCCTGCACACTCCACTTCGTGGTCAACGATTAACGAATTATTAATGGGTAAGATTTCTGCTACCAGAAAACATGGCCGCGTCCATCGGCGCTGCTTATTTGCAAGTTGTGCGATCCGTATTTAGCACGGACTTCCATTCTCGCTACACCTGTACATCCGCGGCATCTCGATAATCGTTCCGTCTATTACGCGCGCGTCACTTCGGCAAAAACATCCGTAATGTGATTAATATTTAAGCGCTTCTGCATACACGATCCGCAAACACACTACCTTGCTGACATATATATATGTAACGTATATATGTATATATATATATTGTGCACGACGATGAGCCGTGCCCCCTCTAACATAAGCGTTCAACAAAACGATCTGCGAAGACCTTGTGGTTCGCTTTCATGGGTATTTTGTTCTCTTAGAATCGCACTATCACCTTAATGTCGTTTCATGTGATACCGCTAAAGTTTGCAATTTCGAATTTCGCATTTACCGACGGAGTTGTGTTAATAATTTGTTTGTTAAAAAACTTCCTTGCCGACGATGTGTCTCATCAGGCGGTTTAAACTTTTCCTGATTAGTTTCTTTTTTTTTTTCTTTTTGTAAATAAATTTAATTTATCATGAAGACATGTAACCAATTTTTGTAAATGATAAATTTCATGTTAGTACTTGAATATAGAAGTGCAGTGTGTGTAAATTTGTACGGTCGTAAAAGATGTAGTCGAGTAAGTGGATATATCAAATGACCCGAGCGTAATTTTCCGTCATGTCCAATAAAAGTGTATGAGAACGGTAACTGGCTTAAATTTCGTAATAACGAGCAAAAAACTATCATGGATGGAGCGTTGCGACGGCACTATATTAGGAAGTATGGCAGGAGGCCAACGAGATGACGAACTACGAACTAGGGGGAAGAATCCTACTTATACGGGTCATCTAGAATCGATAAAGGGTTCCATCCACTTCCGTTCGATATATTCGATACGCAATGTTTTGGTCGAGTCGTATCGTTATGATTTAATCGAACGATTAAAAGTATCGTATTCACGTACACGCAATATTCACAGCCAATTTCATGGCTTTCAGATCGAAATAAGTTCTATTACTAACGATGCTTTACCACCCACGTCGAGCATTCGAGGATCAGAGCAGAATGATGCCACATACCAGAGAACTTTGTTATGTAAACTAGGCTATTATTCGACTTTACCACGCAGTAACGATCACTTCTTCACGGAATATGTGAAATTGAAAATAAATTTACACCCCCTCCGCGGTTTACGTTATCCATGCACTTATTTGGAATGACTTCCAGCCTACCGACATCTCTTGCAGTCCACTTTACTATCACGAATTATTCACCGCCTCACAACCTCGTATTTTATCACATTTCAGGTTATGAATTAGAACAATAAACGTAACAACTTACTGTAGCAAATTTTCTTCTGGAAGTTCTCAAGATAATAACCTATTTCCAAATGGATCCCATTACCTCAAGTAAATCCTCAAAAATATCATCTACTTCCTTTCTAACACTTCGACCAAGAAATTAATTTTAGAAAGTAATTACATTTCCACTTTTCTATATTTCACAAAATCGTTCCCAAAAAGTACAACTGTCACCAAATTGTAAATTACGATGCTCTTGGGGTACTGAAATATATCTAATACAACGGTCAAAGTGTTAATTCATTATCGATAGCCAAAAATAATCTTCTATTCTCGTATAGTGATTAACTTTATTATTGATCGTGGCAATTTGTCTTCAGAATTCAAGCACGTTGACAAAAATCATCCGCGGCCAAATCATCCAATCGTTCTCCAATGATGATCCATCCGCCATGTTGGCAATTTTACATAACAATTTCAACAGTAAGAAATTGGCGAACGTGCCACGGGTAAAAATGGAAGAAGATGATATTATTAGGATAATTGATTTTTCTAGGAGGAAATTTCGAGACGCCTGGATTACCGGAGGCGGTATCCGCATGCCTCTCTAACGAGTCGGCTTCCGAGCGCGGCCACTTGCCAAGGGGACGTTGATTTTCAGAACTTGGCAACGAACGGTAATTGCCTTTACACGCTCGAAACGCCGTTGTCACTCCTCTAGGCGGGCATTGACGAGAAGAACGCGTGGAGGGAACATCACCTACGTGTCTCTGAACCGCGTACACGGCCATCGCAACTACGATGATGATGATGCGCTGGCACCGAAAATATATTTTCTAATGAGACAAATTTACGTACAACGTATCTGTTGGCCGATCTTCATTCCCGATAGCTGTCGTTTCGAAACGAGCCTCGACTGAATGAAAACGGGCCGAGTACAAACATTTCGCATTCCTACCGACGTCCGGAACGAAAATCTTGTATACACACGTCCATCGCGGCTTGATTGATCACCCGGCATTATTTATAGCTGGTAGGCTTATCCTTCGAGGATAGCAAACTCTGTAGAGAGAGAACTCTACGCTTCCTGGTATTCTTGGTCTTCCAGCATTGTTCCTGACGGTTTTAACCCTCTCAGAAGAAGTTTGGAAGCACGATTATTACGTAATGAATATAGTTTATCTATATGTAAATTGTACAGTAGATTTACTGTTTCAAATTGTACTGTTGGATACAAGAAGGACCTCAGTGCCAAAAGTACGCTTCGAGAAAAGTGTCTTTAAACATTATGAAGTTAACTAGTGCTTATACCTAACTAAGTAGTTCTTAAACTGTCTATAATATTTAACTTTGAAGAAATTAAATTTGATGTATTAAGTTTGACACAAAAAGTACAATTCTTCATAATTTAATAATAATCAAATAAGAATAAATTTTTTAATTATCAGTGAAATTTCTATCGATACATATTTAACTCTTTTAAAAATACCAGAACTATGCAATGACTATACCCATTTATCCAGTATATCGAGGTCCCTTCACGACTATAGTGTCCATTAGTAGCGGAAGGGTTAAGCCTCAACGTGAATGTCTATCTCGTAAATCATACGGAGAAGAAGAATAGAACGGTCTGAATATTATTTCAACAGAGGTTGAAATAAATAATGCCTGTCCATTAGTTATATCACCACCGAGCCATTCGTATGATTTACGTGTTCACAGAGTTGGTGTAAGTGATTTTGGAATGTTTATGGGATCAACCAGCGGAATAATATAACTCGAACAAAGCAACCTGCTGCTATTTTCGACGTATATTTTTTATTCCGACTAATCTAAAAAACTAGAATTCAATGATTCGTTTTTGAAAGAGTACACGAGGACTCGTTGTATTTTTATCAGGACCAGGTAGTCACCGCTGGTGTTGTAATGGTCTGCAACGCGTGGGCAGCCGGATCTAAGAACGGCGACGTGACTGAAAATTGCACCGGGTGTAAGATCCGCGTTTGTAATCTCGTGACAATTATAACCATTTTCACAGAGATGGATAGATTTATATTAGCTATACTCTTTGATTAATCACCATCAGTTAACACTGATGTATATCTACCTGTTTCTATCATCAGAAACAAGTGATAATATTCAAAGTTACATTACTTCACGTATCCGAGTAATTTCAGTTACTTCAATTGATCTAACAAGCTTGTTAATGAAATCGTATACACTGTACACCAATAATGTATTTGCCAAGATAAATAGCGGCCAGGGTTTTTTGCTCGGACGTGTTTCATGAATGAACCTATGTTACTTCTATATACTAATAGAATGCCTCTATCATGTTTTAATCCTGTGATACGTAATCGAGAAGTTATTCGTGAGCTTTAAATACACCCGAGGAAACGTGATCATTTGTAACGAATGAAAATTATCCGTGATCCAGTAATATCTGCGCGCGACCACCGGAGTTGGGAGACATACGATATAATTTTCGAGAATGAAAGTGTGCACCAGGTGATCAAGCTGTAAGGTGGGCTGCGAAACGTGGTCTTGTTGTTTGATTTAGCGTTGACCTTCCGATATCACGAGAGGAGGACCCACTTATAACATATTTCATTTTTCGTCGCGTCGCTCTATTTTTGCGCCCACCGGTTTTCTAGCTGCTTTACCAGACGCGGTAGATGTCTTTATACCGTGGCGGAAAAGCCGCGGCACTTCAGGTATCCGTCGTCCGTCGTGCGAGGTATCCGTCATCATGGTAAGAGTAGCGAAAACTCTCCCTGTCGATCTTTCATTTCGTAATCGATGCATATGGAATTATTTAGTGAGATTAATTCATAAAAGTGAAAGAAAAAAAAATCTGTACATAGGGTAAAGACTATTTTAAAAAAGTATAAAGGAAAAACTGTCTGGATATTGATTTATTGTATAGATTTATTTATGAAATCTCTGTAACTTCGTATTCCATCTATATGGAATTATTTAGTGAGATTAATTCAGAAAAGTGAAAGAAAAAGAGATCTACACATAGGGTAAAGAGTATTTTATAAAAGTGTCAAGGAAAAGTTGCGGAAGTTTGAGTATAGAAATAAATTTATTGAATGATGAGTGATGACAACTTAAAATAGTGAAAGAAACATATTTATAAAAGTTACAACAATAATTTGCTTAACAATCGATAAATTTCTTTTAAATTTCTTTTAAAAAATGTGATAGAAATTGAATTGGCGGTTCGCAGGAGGAAGACGAGCAAAAGATGGCCGTGATGCGAAAGGCCTTCCAGATGTTCGATACTACGAAGAGTGGCCTTATCGACAATTTGAAAATCTCCACGATATTGAACACGATGGGTCAACTGTTCGATGATGCTGAATTGAATGCTTTGATCGAGGAGAATGATCCAGAGGGAACCGGTAAAGTGAACTTTGATGGATTTTGCAGAATCGCTGGTCGATTCTTGGAGGAGGAGGATTCTGAGGCTATGCAAGAGGAACTGAAAGAAGCCTTTCGTTTGTACGATCGCGAAGGGAATGGATACATAACTACGGCTACCTTGAAGGAGATTCTCGCTGCTCTGGATGACAAACTGACCAGCGCGGATCTTGATGGTATTATTGCTGAAATTGATACCGATGGATCTGGTACAGTTGACTTTGATGGTATGTATTGAAAATTATTATTGTTATTATTATTATTATACAGGTAAAAATGCCTCTAACACATTATTTACAATATTTGCATAAAAGTTAGGACTTAATATGCACAACTACGATGCTAATGATTCTTAGAATTGGCAACGATGATTTTTCGCCTCAACGTATATACTTGGTTAATCGTTAAAAAAAAACCAATTAAATAACAATGTTTGTTTCAAGTGAAATTCTATTGATCGGATTATTGTGTCTGTATCCAGATGTAAATACCTTGGGTCTTAGGTACTCAGCACTTTTGAGGTGTCTAGTTGACTCACATACAGGGTGGGTTAGAAGTAACGGGGCACTGTTTTATTTTATAATTTTCCACGGAGTTGTGCTACCTTACTACTTTTAGCTCACCCTGTACATTAACTTTATTTAGGATTTACGGAGCTATTGATGTGGTTGTTTAGTAGTTTATGAGGGAACATCAAGTATTTTTTTAATTTTCTACTTGATTGTTAGTATATTATATTTTCGTTGTATTTTTAGAATTCATGGAGATGATGACCGGAGAATAATTTTAAGCGACTGAAGAGCGACGTCGAAGACAGTATATTTAAAATATCGTTTTAATATTGTCCCCAATAATAGTGTACTAAAATTTGTTTAATAAAACTGTTATTTAAAACTTACTCTATTATCTTATTTGACTCAAGTCTGTATATGTATATGGGTGTGCAAGGGTATATAATTCAATAGAGACAGATTTTTATAATAAACATTGACTCTTTGGAGCAATTTATTCATTATAATTATTGATACATCGATAAATCCATTTTTTTTTTTTTTAATTATTAACATTAACAAAATTGTTTGTTGCGTGCTAAGTCTGTGGTTCGTAAAAACCAATTTGCATACGACTTCTAACGATGCCGCGCGCATTCAGGAACATATTTACTGGGTGATGTCATTGGTGGGTTGTCCTTCGTGGAAGACGAGAACCTCCTTCACGAAAATGTTGGGCACACTGAGGGCACCAGGTGTCATGGGTCTTTCCAGAGGGAAACCAAAGGGTTTACCATCAAGAGAGATGGCACCACCGATGATTTCAGAGATGGGTTTGTTCTGATAGTACTCGGTGACACTCTGATCTTGGACAGTTTGTAGTTGAGCGTAGATACCTTGGAAGCCACCAGCGTGTTGTTGACCACTAGCTACGATACCACCTTCGATTCCACCTTGAACTTCAGGTTCTTGCCAATTTCCTTGAATGTGAGATCCTTGCATACCATAGGGAACTTTGACACCTTGGACACCTTGTGCAAGACCCCATACTCCTTGCACTCCCTTCAGAATAGCTGGTACACCTTGGATTCCTTGTTGACCACCTTGGATTCCTTGTTGATCACCTTGGATTCCTTGTTGACCACCTTGGACACCTTGGAGACCTTGGAGATCTTGGAGACCTTGTTGAACACCTTGGACACCTTGGACACCTTGGAGACCTTGTATACCTTGTAAACCTTGTTGAACACCTTGGAGACCTTGGAGACCTTGGAGACCTTGGACACTATGTTGCATTCCCTGATTACCTTGTAGACCTTGTACACCCTGTTGTACACCCTGTTGTACACCTTGTTGTTCAGCCTGTACATTCTGAAAGGCGCCAGGTAGTTTCCAATTGATGTTCTGTCCACGTTGTTGTTCTGCTTGTTGGTGTTGTTGCCGTTGTCCGTAGATCATTTGAGATACCTGTTCTTGTTGAGCTGCCGCTGCCGCTGCTGCTGCTTGGATCTGTTCTTGGATCTCTCGAGCCTGTTGAGTTTGCTGACGTGAAATTTGTTGCTGTGCAGCTAATCCATGTGGTTGTGGTGACCATAGTCCACTATTGATTACACCAACGCCTTGGATTGTGTACGTCATGTCTTGACCTTCGCCAACGGGGTTCTGGATTTGTGTGTTCGGATATTGTCCGTGGTATCTGGTGTAAACGTTGGCATAATAGTCCCTGACGGCTGCAAAAACCAAATGGCGTATACTGTTAATTCTGTTCGATGAGCGTCGACGACGAATTGTTGCTGTTAAAGTACCTTTCACTTGTTGTTGTGCCTGGACTAGGTTTTCAGGAAGAACTTCGACATTCTGTTGGATTCCGCCGGATACCTGAGGGAGCTGGCTGTGTTGTTTCAATTGGTGATACTGTTCAGGGTTAACGATCTGGAATTGCTGTTCTTGGTAGGTCAGAGCTTGCTCTGGGATCACTGGGCCACACGGGACGTTGAGAGCGTTAGGTCCGGAGATTACGACGAGGAACTGAAGAGGGAAGCCTTGTTGCGTACCCTTGGGAAGAGACAACCTAGCTGGGAAGCTGAAGATCTGGTGTGGCTATAAAGATACATTTAATTATTATTTCTTAATCCCTTCATCTTCTTACTTCATAAATTTAATCAGGACAAATCACTGACCTCCGCAATGTAGAATGGTCCCTGAGATCGGATAGCATTGTTGACACCTTGTTGAATTTGTTGAGTGGATGGCCAGTCGGCGCTCTGTCCAGGAGCCTGCTGGGAGTTCCTGATAATGATGTTCTGGCCAGGATGGACTGAACACAAAACGAATCAAATATTACCATTCAATTCTTCATAAATTCATAATTCAGAAGAATTATTGCAGCTTACGATTTTGAATAGACTGGTCGAGCTGGACGAAGAGGTGTCTGTTCTGAGAGATACTGACTGGTTTACCCTCGTAGTCGTGTTTGGGTCCAAGGAAGACGCGGACAACTACATTTGGTACGTTCTGTTCACTGTGGACTGCGATCTTGTATTGGAATGGTTTGTGGTCCAACCTCTTAAGGTGTGCCTTAACTTGTTGCTGAACCTGTTCTTGTTGTTGTTGCTGTTGCTGTTCTTGGGATTGGTCTTGTTGAGGGGTCACAGTATCGAGATTGATGTAGTAGTTGCTGAAGAGTGTGACGAGCTGACTGACATCGACGTTCTGAATGGTAACACCGGGGAGGATAAGATCGTTGGACTGGTAGGCTGGCAGGGACTGTTGATATTTCTGGAAGAGGTTCATGACTCTTTTGTACAGTTGGTAGAAAGCTGGGTCGTGGACGGCGGTTTGTTCAAGTTCCAGAGCAGATGGTGTGTAGTCCCAGATGTTTTGTACTTCAGGGGCGTTTCCAAGAAGTTTGCGAGCTGCAGCCTGGAGGCTTCCATAGTATCTGTTTAAGAACAGAAAATAAATATTAGAAATATATTGTACAATTTGAAATGACATTTTTCTGCATAGGCAATTTAACCTTGGGTTGACACTTCTGCCAGATCCTTCGATCAAGTCACCAAGAATGTTCATCCCCTGTGGTTGGTAGAGAGAGAGGAAGATGCCTTGTGGGGTGACAACATGGCCAGAGTCGATAGCTTCCATCAATCTCTCTTCCAAACGAACAACAGATTGAATGAGCTTGTTCTTCTGTGGTTGGAGTTGGAGGTTCTCAGGACGGCTTGGGAATTCCAGTCCATTCAAGTTGCGAAGGTGTGGTTGGTAGAGGGATTGTACACTCTTGTAGTCAATGTTTTGGATTGGGCCAAGTCCGTTCGAGAGACGGTTCAATTCGTAATGGGCCAAGAGTTGTTGGTGGAGGAACAGATACTGGGAGCCATGACCAATGGTATTTTGCTGGCCCTGTTGTCCTACTTGTTGCAAGTATTTTCCTACAGTTTGTTGTTGGTACTGTTGCAGATTTAAAGGCTGCTGTGGTTGTGGCTGCTGCTCTTGTTGTTGTTGCTGTTGTTGCTGCTGTTGATCCTGTTGGTTAGGAAAAAGTATTGATGAGAATAGTTTTAAAATATCTCTTAAGTGCTGTAAGAAAATTTTAGGTTATTATTTTTAAAGTATTTACCTCGTCCAAGATATATGAAGCAAGATTAACATAGGCATAGTAAGAAGCAAGACCGACATCCTGAGTGAAGTAAGACAGCTGTTGTTCATCATGAGACAGGAGGGCAGAGTAGTTGACAGGGATAAGAATGCCTTGGATGTTTCTTTGTTGGATTCCTTGTTGAATGGCAATGTCTTGAGCTTCCTGAATAATTCTGGAATCCAGGTGGTTTTGAGGCAAGATTTCATAAGCTGGTGGCAAGATGAGACCTTGGGTATCTTGACGAGTCAGAACAGCACTAGCCAAAGCCTGTTGATTGAATAGGAAAATAATTTAACATAGAATGTATATGCACAGTGTACATGAGAAATTAGATGCAATATAGAAGTCTTCCAATTCAATCTAATGGATTAATAAATTTTTGTGTGTGCAGTTTCCATACCTTGATAAATTGTCCTTCATTGACATGGACACGGGCCCATGCAGCAGTCTTGAGGAAAGTCTGGTAGTTCTTGGCACCCAACAAGATCCTATAAAGCAGGGAAACTTCCTTGCGTAGTTGACTAATGGAGTTGCTGTAAACTGTACCCTTTGGTTGAACAAGGCCAGCTTTCACAGCACCCGCATAGTATTTCACTACAATTGGGTTCTGGTACTGATGAGAATTGTTCTCAATGTCATAGGAAGCACCAAGGTTCTGAAGTTGTTGGTTTGGGATTGGTTGTGAGATCTTTTGCAGGAGTTGAATGACATCCTGCTGTTTTTTGAGGAGTTCCTGATCAGCTGGAATGAATGAAAGCATTTCTTTGGTACAGAGAAGAGGCAATAATATTATAGAACTTATGCTATGTTACACTTCCTTGATTAAATAACTTACTACTGCAGCAATACAAACAAGAAAAAAGACAAATGAAGAGAATCAGCTAAGATTTAAAGTTTCAATTATTAAATGCTACTATAATATGAGTTAAAGTTTCAGCAAAAAAAAACAGAAACAGAAATTGATTCTAAGTAAGATAATGACCCAAAATTATTTCTATGGCATTATTACCAAAAGTTGAACAATTTAAATTTTCAAAAGCAGAAGTTTCAAGTAGTGACTTACCAGCGCGTTGTTTAGTGATGCTGCATGTCCCTAAGACTACCAGAGCCAACAATACAATTACAAACCTCATTGTGTATTTCAATGAGAGCATCCCATGCTGACTGTCTGTCCGACCAGTCTTTTATACCCGAATCCAATCGAAGAAGGGGTTTATCGGCGACCTGCCGACCTACCTCCCTCAAGATTTCGCAGTCTAACCGCGATATCCTTTGCTATTTCGAATGTATCCGACGCATACGATCGAAGGTTAAACGATGAAATGTATCATCGCGAGTAGATTGTGCATCAAGTTGCTCTATCAAAAATGTAGTATCCTTTATCCAACCATATTCTTCTAACCATTCTAGGCAGTTCTTGCTTTCCATTTCGCTAAGGTATGATTATGTTGAGTACGTTTACTTTAATTTTATGTCTTCCTTAGTTTTTGAAATAACATGACACTAAAAAGAAAACAGTCAAATTAGATGTACTGACTAATAATGCAAAAGTTACTTTTTAGAATTTATAATTGCAATAACATTAAATGTTTTAATTGTATTAAATTAAAACAAAAACATGGACAATCTGTAGTACTTGCAATTAATTATGCAAATAAGGTATAAATTAATTGAATCTAATTTTTAAATATTTTGCATGATAGATTCTTCTCGAAATATTCGATATGTCTTGAACAAACCTATATATTTATTCAAATAGTTAATAATAGTTAATAATAATTATAAGAATAAAACTATAATAGACGATGATTTGCATAAAAATTTGATTAAATATTCCATTTCCGATTATATTATTATTTTGCAATCGAGTAAAAAAATTATCGAAGTATTTTCAACATTTTTAGCACAGTTGGAAAAAGAACACAAAATGTTGAGGGTCATCAGTATCTTCGTGCGCTGGATAATACAAGATAATATGTCTTGAACTCTCAGGTGACTATATGCGCAAAGGTTATCACTTTGTTTACCTCTTAAATGGTTTGACTGTATTTTTATATCCCTGGGGGGTACAAAGAAAAAAGGGGACATCATTGTATCTACAAGTAGTTTTTCAAATGCAGTCAACAAGCCGGCAGATAATAAGAATTAAAGATTTATTTTCGTTTTTTCATCGCAACAAAAATTTCTTTTCTATAGTCACATAAAATTTGCAATTACAATGTGGAGTATGTTATAAAATTTTTTGTTATCTATCGATTAATGTAATACTTTCATGAAATAAAAATTTTTGGTAGTAATTCATATATAATTAATTGAATATTTATTATTGAATAACTAATATTGTTTAAAAAAAATTTTCTTGGCAACAAATAATTTTTCGTCACTTTTTTTTTACCGTATGACGACATATACTACAAATAATTACACATGCAAAAAACAAAGAATGAAATCTTATAAAAGCGATAACACAAAAAAACAAAAATATGCTTTGGTTGCACATAGTAACAGTGCAATCAATCGCCACTTTTTTTTCTGATTTCGCTGCATATCGTTGCTATTACTTATTGTATTATATTGATACAATAATTTACTTCTAACTGTGTAAAAATTTTGAAAAGTGTTATTTTACACTTTTCAAAGTAAATGGATATATTCTAGAATAAAATTTTCAGGTATAAAACATTCAAAGATTTCGTTCGTTTCTCTATACACTTAAACTTTATTAAATGGCATTGCATTTAATAATTGTTAAAATTACTATCAATTACAATGGTACGTTCTACTTGCAGTAATTAATACATTTTTTTATAATAAAAGAAGAAAAAAGGACAGAGGTAAAAAGTAAAATCATAAATTTATGCTTAATGTTATGGAAAATACTAGGAGGTCAATCTCAAACACCGAAATATTTGAGCATTATCGATTTCTATAAGGTTCACGTATAACTAATACAGCATGTGATTTAAATGTGGGCGCTGCGGATTCATGAAATCTATTCCACAAATAGAATTATTTTCAATTCAGTTTACTTCTTTTAACAAACTAGCAATCAGAGAAGAAAGAATTTCTCGGATCATTGCTCACGATCAAGCTATCCCTTCGCTTTCTTGTAGACGCTTCTATACATTCACATGCGCACGTGTATACGTTTTATATGTGTATACTGTCATTTGAAGTGCTGAACGTAACCTTGAAAAGCCCACCCTCGAAGCACAAGTTCAATCGCAGCGGGTGAAGTAACGCTTTTTCTGCGTATACACGGATCAAAGGATCGTTTTGTGGCTTCTGATGATAGATCGTAATCTCTGATAAAATGTCAATGTGAAAGATTGAGAAATTAACAAGAAGTGACGTTAGGTTGCTGGTGCCGTGATAAGGTGCAAGTTATAGGTTAGGGGAGAGTACGAAAGTTTCGTTGGAAAGCTTCTAAAATGTCCTGGAGGAATTAGGCGGTGAATGCCGCTGTTACATACAAGAAGTATTTTATTAAAGTCAGCATGGTGCAACATTCGGTCGCGCCTAGGCGCAACGTTAGAATTTTGTTGATCGGTGATCGCGGAGTCGGTAAGACTTCTTTGATATTATCCTTAGTCAGCGAAGAGTATGCGGAAGATGTGCCCTGCAAAGCAGAGGAGATCACAATTCCGGCAGATGTTACGCCGGAACAAGTACCAACGCACATTGTAGATTACTCAGGTATGAGAATGTCTGTAGTTGATGTTTTTATAAGCATTGAACATTGCATTGATATTGTTTTATTTACAAGTTTTAATTCACAGCTGCAGAACAAACTGAAGATCAGTTAACTGATGAAATTCAAAAAGCACATGTAATTTGTGTTGTATATTCTGTGGTTGATGAGGATACTTTGGACAGGGCAGCTACTTATTGGCTGCCATTAATCAGACGATGTTCGTCAAATAATCGTTGCCCGATTGTCCTCGTAGGAAATAAGATTGATCTTGTTGATTATTCTACTATTGAGGTTCATTGAATTACATAAGATTTATAGCACTTGTTTTATATATTTAAAACTATTAATTTTATTTTTTCTTAGGCTGTATATCCAATAATGAAGGAATTCACTGAAATTGAGAGTTGTATTGAGGTATAACTAACTTATGATTGCTACATAAGTATTAAATAAATCATCAGGAAAAGGATATTAACTTTTGTTAAATTTGTTCCAGTGCTCTGCCAAAACATTACAAAACGTTTCAGAAACATTTTATTATGCACAAAAAGCTGTTCTACATCCAACAACACCGCTCTACAATTATGATAATCAAGAGGTAAACTCTTTGTAAAATGTTTACCATCAAAAGAATGTCTTAATTACTCATTAATGTAATGTCATGTTTAGCTTACAGAAGAATGTAAAATTGCACTACAAAGAATCTTTAAAGTAAGTGTGTATATTTGAGCTTTTATGTCAAACATGATTCATGCATATGTTGTATATTTATGGTGTATTACTTCATACAGATATGTGATTTGGACAATGATGGCTTGCTAAATGACATGGAACTAAATGCATTTCAACAGTGGTGTTTTAACACCCCATTACAACCACAAGTTTTGGAAGATGTAAAAGCTGTATTGTCTAAAAATATTCAAGATGGTGTTTGTAATGGATGTGTTACTATGAAAGGTATATTTTGAATATTAAGCTTTACAAAAATCATTATAAAAATACATCTTTGTTGTTTGTAGGTTTTATGTATCTTCAGTGCTTATTTATACAACGAGGAAGAAATGAGACTACTTGGGCTGTGTTAAGAAAATTTGGTTATGACAATGAGCTACAGATGTCCAAAGAATACATATATCCACCGTTAGTACACGATTAGCAAAAGAAGACTTTACCCGTTTATTTTATTCATATTATATTTATTATCAATGTGTTGTATAGATTAAAGGTTCCGATCGGATGTACGACGGAATTATCACATAAAGGGCAAGAATTTTTAACATTATTATTTATGCAACATGATCGAGATCGAGACGGTGCACTTTCACCGTTAGAAATGGAATCGCTATTCTCACGGTGTCTGATTCCACCCTGGGGGGAGGAATACAAATACACCGTACCAACTAACGAAAAGGTATATTGTTTGCCCATATTTATTACTTTTTTATTTATCTTTTTTATCATTATCATAGGGATGGATCACATTTCAAGGATATATGTGTCAATGGGCGCTATTAACACTTACCAACGTGCGGAAAACATTAGAATACATGGCATACCTGGGTTATAACATGTATAATAACGAATGTCAGACAAACGCGGTTCTGGTAACTCGTGAGAAAAAGTTAGACTTGGCGAAGAAACAGTCAAGTAGAAATGTTTATAGTTGTCACGTAATTGGTCCGAAAAGTAGTGGCAAAACAACATTGTGCAGAACGTTTATTGACCCTAAACTTGAGGTATATATGCGTGTACGTGCACACATTTATATTACAACATATATTTAGCGATATTCGAGTAACATGTAATATGATGACAGAAACTGACTGATGAAGTGGTGCCGTCAAGTTCACATGTTACTGTAAACACAGTACACGTGTATGGTCAAGAGAAAACTATAATTCTGCGAGACATAAACATACTTAATGTTCAAGATGCTTTAACTCCAGCAGAAATTCAGTGTGATGCGGCAGCTCTCGTTTACGATGCTAGTAATCCCAAATCGTTTGAATACATTGCACGAATTTATATCGTAAGCATTTATTTAAGGAGCTTTTTGTAAATGTATAATGGAGTATTTGTCATACTTTTACAACGATTTTTTTTTTCAGAAATATTTTGCAGATAGTAAAATTCCAGTTCTCATAGTAGCAAATAAGAACGATCTTTCTGAAGTAAAGCAAGAGTACTTGTTACAACCAATAAGTTTTTGCAATAAGTACAAACTGATGCCACCACAACCTTATAGCATCTCTCGTACAGTACGACGTGAAATCTTCGTTAAACTAGCGACAATGGCAGCTTTCCCGTAAGTCCAATATTCTACAACTTAATTAATTATTATGTAGACACAATTTGTATAAGTATGAATACGCTCCAAAATGTTATTTTATCAAGCAATCATGTTTACTTAAATTCGTTGAAAAAACAAAATATCGTAAATAGAATTGTGGTGCATTTGTTTGATGCTATCGAAATATCTTTTATTTAGTATTATTTATAGTTCTTAAGAAAAAATAGTATATCTTTCAAACTGAATAATTATTATTAGACACTAACAAAAAGGTTTCATGTTTAGCCGCTTTCAAGGAGCATGGGTATTATTTTACAGAGACAGGTTGGTCTGAATTTTTGCAACACCGTAAGCATTGTAAGCTTGAGCAAATCGTGAATCACATTTTCAGTTTTTTTTTTCCCTTATTCATTATTCATTGCACGTATACACGAAATATATAGTTGCCAAATGTGCTAGGCGATTTGCTCAGATTAGAGGATGTCGCATGATTAAGACTACGATAACAAAGTCTTAAATCTTTTCAGTCTTTTGAGGCGTATGGTCCACATGTTGCTTGTCAAATCCTCACCCACTCAATGGTGGAGTTCTTTTACAAGGTTTTTGTTTGTATTATAAATTTCTATTAATTTCACGGAGTGCTCACGACTTACAATTTAAAAATGATACCAATTACTACTTCTCTTGCATGAGCATGCAACATGTTTGATCTTTGAATTTTCGCTTATATTTTTTATGCTACATGTATATTTCAGAATTTATTTTTTTTTTTTTTCAATTATGCGTGTATTAAATTGTACTGAAATTCGAATGTGTAAAACTAGCAGTACTTCATTATAGGATAGAGTATACTGTGCTATTTATTTTAATTACACCATGAAGCAATATATATATACGCACACGCGCGCGCGTGCGCGCGATTTTTACACATTAGAGGAAGAAGAGAATTTTGCGTGATTATTACAAAAAATAATTCTTGACATTTCAGACACATAAATCAATTTGGACTAATGCAAGGGGATTCCGTCGTCTGGTGGAAGGCTGGTCTCGGAATTGCAGTTGCGACCGTTGCGGGTTTCGTGGTGATGCGTGTCTTAAATACAGAAAAAAGATAGTCTACCATATTCCTTTCCTTGCACATTTAACTGCCTCTTTTGGTCGAGTATAAAGCCATCTTTAAGAAACGCGTTAAGTTAATAAACTATGTTCTTAAATCATTAATTTTCTTATATGTCATTTGACTACATAACAAACAACAAATTTTCTTATCTTTTTTCTTTACATTTTAACATACTGTTTCATCTGATATTTCGATTAACTTCCATGTTGTTTGTATTTATTTTGACACTTCATCCACATATTGTGGATATTTTTACACGTATCCAGATTTTCATTTCTTGAAGCGCATTCAAAAAACTCGCGTATTTCGGGAACACATAGTTCTTGCGTATTTGGAGAGTTGCTAGCTTGGTCGTCTTTTGCGGAAATCACGTGTCCTTTGTTATCAGAAAGCGTGCTTCCAATTGCTTGCCCCTTAAATGGGTCAAATCAATATTCATTTTAAGAAAAAAAAAATTATGTGAACACAATGACATTGGTACTGAACTTACTATAAGAGAACCAACAGCAACTCCCGCTGCAGTACTCATAGCAGATTGAAAAGCGGAAGAAGTGCTGCTATTCGACCATGGTTGAGATGAAGGTGTAGATTTTGCCTTAAATCTAAATAGATACATGTAATTTAAATTGTTCGAAGAATATTAAATTGACTAATACGAAACACACTTCTTCATATAAGTACAAATTCTATAAAAAAGAACAACACTTCATTCTATATCTTTTTATTTATTTACAGTATTTGCTTTAATCAATAAGGGAAGGGTGAATTTGAATGAATGACAACCATGTATACAGACATGAATTTATTAATACATTAATACCAATTGCACATAAGGATATTTGCCTAATTCATAAACATGATCCATACAATTTTAGTTCAATATTAGTAGAATTCAAATTTCTGGTAAACCTACCAAATTAATTTATAATCTTCATCTCCTAAGTTTCTCCTATTGTTCAAGGACTACATTCTGCTTTTGGAAAATTAGTTATTTAAGCTATGACTGAAATGAAAAACAGCTACTTTAATACATCATTCTGCATTAGAAATCTCATTTAATCCAAAAATAATTTTAAACTCACTGTGAGAAGCTTTGCATTGGCGAAGGGCTTCATTGAATCCTTCACACAATGTAAGGTCAGATTGATTTTGGGCACATTCCAAGAACTGCTTGACTTCCCATGCACAAGCTCCACCAGCAGGTGCTGGAGCTGAAGCACTTTGTGCTGCAGCAGGGGCTGCTACAGGTGCAGCTGCAGTTTCACTGGAGCCTCCACTGAAAAGACCAGTCACTGCATGTCCAATGGTATGACCAACAGCAGAACCAATTGCTACACCTCCAGCAGTAGCGGCCATTTGTCCCATGAGGGATGGTTGTTGAGGTTGGGCCACCATTGGTGTTGCTGCCGGAGCATGTGCTGGAGGATGAGCAGCTGGAGCTGGGGCAGCCCTCCTAACTCTAAAATAAAAGTAAAATTATACTTTGCCCCGTCGTTGCACATGATTGCAGAATAAATTCAAGAATCACGTAATTTCATTATGGCCGACGTCACATTAAATCTGACAATTGATTGAATAGAAAAATGTTGATTTACGGGATATTGTATACATGAATCCGAATTAGAAGAAAAATACTTACGTTCTTGGTGGAGGAGCTGATGCACGTCCTCGTCGTGGCATGGTTTAAGTTTCTTCGCACTAAGTTTTGTACAATACAACAAACGTCCACTCTCTTTAGAGTTTCTTCTGATACTGCAATGGCTTCTTTAATACCGTACTATCTTATGCAATCTAATCGACTTGCGCAGGCTCACAAACAGTCCACGAACTTTCCAGAAATAAGACAGGAAGTAAACACGCAAAAAAGAGACACACTTCAAAGATAGAATAAAATAAAAAATTGAATAAAACTGAATTTTGCACGAGCTATGATTGCAATAAATGTTTTAAACTTATACAATTATTGCATTTGTTTTAAAACTTATTGTGTTATTTATTGTAAACTAACTTCACGCAATAGAATGTGCAAATTGTGATGTTGGTTGCAATGTTAGATATATAGTTATTAAGTTGACTATATTCATAGAGTTCACGTATGTATGCACACATGAAAAATTAAATTGCTTATTAAACAATATTACTTTTGTATTGTATAATATATGAACTTCGTCTTAGCCATAATGTTTTTATTAAAAAATATACATTTTTTATTGATCTTTAAGTGTATATATTACAATTGTACGAACTATTGTTGCACTAATTTATGCAAAATGTTCTGTTTATAGTTCTCTGGTCAAAATAAATATATAAATGTATAGATTAAGTTATATTTTTACCATTGAATTACCATTACTAACATTAAAATATGTAATTCTCTTAAATATAATACATTACTTACTTCCGGAGTTATGTAAGTCAAAAATTATAAAATATAGATAATGAATATTTTTTCCATTTTATAGAACTAACCTGCTTTGCTGTGATTGTGGTATAGCAGATGCGTATTTATTTGGAGACGAAGTTCGGCCTCGTTTTCCACTTTTTTTATCGTTTCTTCTGTTCCCAGCCATTATAGCTCTTTTTAATTTTTTTTAAATATATTACTCAATCATTTTTTGGATTAGAAAAAGAAATTAATAAAAATGACGGATAATTTTTATTTGTTACTTTTATCTTAACATTAACAACCAGCCATGATATTTTTATTATAGCCTGAAGTATGCAGAAAGAAATACTGCTAAAGTTATAATTTAACAATTTACAGTTGATAATTTTCTGTGCATATGCACATTCTCTTTCGCTTGTTTATTTATTTGAATCGTAGAAACAATTTGACAGAGCAATTGAACTTGACAAGAATTCTACCAGAGAGCGCCATCATCTTAACTTTCTTGACATATATAAATATCGAAAATCCAATAGGGCAGTGCATGCATGCTTTTGCAGTTATTGTGTATTCATGTTGTTCTATGAAATTTAGTTATATCAGCGTAATTAAATACCTCGTATCAATAAACAACAATTTATATTCCTTACGAAATACTAAATAACCTAACAAAGATTACAAATGAGATTCAATGAGCGATTGTCGAACGAGATTTGAAGGCTGATTGAATACATCGTGTTTGGGATACGAATTTAAAATGGAAGTAACCTTTATCATCGTTTTTCCTAATTTGTGAGATGTATTTTAATAGTGTGTATTTTTCAGCAATTTCACTTCAAGATTTTCTTTGTTTGATCTCTTAAATCAATTACTTATCTCATGGTGTTTACGAATATGCATCTTTGTATGTATTGCAGCTACAGATGTATCAAGTAATCTGACCTATTTTTAATTCTCAAAAGGTTTATTTAAGTTTTATTTTTAGAGCAGAACTATTGTTACAAATAGTACATGCGTCAATATTTACGCAATTCTAATGTAAGTTAACTATACATCGTAATACATACTTACGTATGTTAGGGAAATTTGTGATGCTATTTTTAGAAGCTACCATTTTACTCATGTTCGTACTACTGTTAAAACATCGTTATGTGCTCTAACTATGAACGAACGTTCATACTCTCTAACTTCAATTTCGATTAATGAAAAGAGAATAAAGAAAACGAAAAATTTAGAAAATGAATTTTATTTGTTCATTTCTCATCTTCAACAATTATTAATACAAATGTTTTATATGATTAGAAACTTCGATATATTTATAACTATTCTTATCATAAAAAAACAATCATTTCTTTTTTAAGAGTTCTACTATCGCTTACGCGAGACAAAGAGAAGTGAATCTTATCGTAACCATGGACGAAACGAAAGAACCGCGCCTCAGAATTACAGAGAAAGGAGCTTGAGTGTTTTAAATGCGGGGGAGGAGCGTTTCAACCAGAGCCCGACGATCCGACCAGTTTGTGCGTCGTTTCTTCTGTCTCTGGTGCAGTGTTATCGGCCTGTTATCGTCGTGCAACACGTGTCAATATAGGCGCGCGCTGGCCGCGACCGCCGGGTGCATTCACCGACACATGCGCACATCAGCTGAACGAAACTCTTCATAAACCGGCGGGAACACGTTACTCGTGACTCAGTGTACACGATGCCACGGCTTCGCCGCGATATACCACGCACCACGTACATACGCCCTTCCCTTTCGTCGCTTTTCCACGGTGTTACTGTGATCGTTTTTGTCGTCGCATTTCCTTGACACACGTATCACACACCACATAACCTATCTTTCTTCGTTCGCCGTACGATATCGCGAACCAGTATACCGACAGAGAGGCGCGACTGATGCATTGGTTTAGCGACATCCTCCCCCGCCGAGGCAAACGTCAATTTTTGATCAAGAGACCGGAGAAACGAGCAACAAAGAACATAGAAAACTTTTAACAAGGAATGACCATTCGATTGATCATCGTGGAACAGGACCGACAGAGGATCAACAAGGATCGTCCGTTTGGCGAGTGCGGTGAGTGAGACATTGTTTTTGTTTTGATTGAAACACGTGCGTGTCCGACAAGTGTCAGGGGAGTGGTACTTTACACGAGAAGTGTCGATCGTATTGTAACCACGGTTGATAAAATCTTTTTTTGGATGGCTGAATGCGCCTTAAAAATCATTTCGCCAAAACTGACGTAATATTTGATGGTGACGGTGAAATATCGAGTCGCGTCTAATACAACAGCGATAACGATTGAGGCTAGCGGCAAACGTTGTGGTCACGATTCGTACGACACATAGAGAGAGAGAGAGAGAGAGAGAGAGAGAGAGAGAGAGAGAGGGAGAGAGAGAGAGAGGGAGAATCAGGTTAAATAAAGAGTTGACGGGAAGAAAATAGACACACCGTCCGATTCGTTCAAGTGATATCGAATTTAAATCTCAGTTGACGTGTTTGTGTCACGCGTGCTGATCGTTTGATGCTGGTAGACGTGTTTATAGCTGCGTCGTGTCCATGAAAACAGGCATAAATGACGTTCGTATTTTCTTATCCCGAGGTTCTTTGTCCCTACATTTTGTTTTCTTGTTCTTTCACATGAAATCTCTTTGACGCAGCAGCACCTTGCGTCGCAGCGGCCCAAAATTATTCTTCCCGGTAACGTAGACGCGCGTAGCAATCCCGTCGCGGAATTGCGCACTTCTTTCATGGCGCTGTGCCAATTTCAAAGTTCAGGTACTCGCGATCACGGTGTGCATACAGGGTGTTTCTTTATTCGTGATATTTACTGTACGAATAAACACTTGAAAGCGGTGAAACGAAAACATGTATAACCTATTTAACCTTGACGCTGTCATTAGTTATTACTATATTTCAATGTGTGTTTAAAACTTTAAAATGGAAGAATGCAAATGAAGTGTCTATATATCTTTTATTATGATGGTAAATGAATGATTGTTTAATATGAAAATAAAAGAAAAATGGCGGTCATTTGAAAAGGAGGTCAAATAGGTCACACGTTTATGTGAACTTCTTTTATACTCAACAACAATGAGTTGTGTTTATAGAGAGACACCAAGTATGTCACAAGGTGTCTTAAACTGCAGTATAAACATTGTATTTACAATAATACTTCTCTCTTGATCTTTGCTCATGCAACTCCAAAAATTTTTGTCGACACTGATAATTCAGATCCCCGCTTTTTAAAAAAAATTATTGCAATATTTCCTCAGCATTGCAGACAGACTTTGATATCAATCATACGTTATCAGTACAATATTAAATATCAACGTAAGATATTAATAAGCAGAAAATTCAATTTATTCAGAATTTAATAATCGATTAACGCTAAAATGTTCGAGAATTTTTAGGTAGACGATCCCTACCATCGATCAGATAAAAGAATGATTTCCATTGAAAAAAAACTAACACCGCCCATTTCAAGACCGCACCTATTTACTGGCGGTTAAATTAAGCGTTTCATTCAGTGCAATAATATTGTCGTTTCGATCGGTATTTACCAAGCTATGCTGATGACCCACGTGTTCGAGAGAGCGTGCAGTTGATTTGAGCGCGCGGAATGAACAGGAAACTATTATGAATAATTAATCAGTGGACTTGTTACGTATCGATCAAGCGCTGAGTTCCGTCCTCCCTGTCGGTGTTGGCGCGGGAATTTGAAGCAGCACACGAGGGCCCACTTACTAAGGAAAATCCGTCGAGTCAGCGAAAGCGTAATGGCTTTGAAGAATTAATATCTGTATCTGAAATGCTTTCATAAAATTCGTAGAATTTTGGTTCACAGAAGTTCCTTAGTATTACTTTCCCCTGAATAAATGAATTATTACATTCTATTATAAATATTAGTTATTTCAATAACGAGCTAACTTTTCCTGCTCAAGTAAGAGATTATCCATGGTGTCGATCTCCTTCTCGAGATCGATATGAATTTCTGCACATTGGAAGCGATGTCCTTAAATAGATACAGGGAGATGCCGTTGCTAGCAGTTTCTTGTATGCACTTTTCGCGTCTATATACCCGAAAATCCATATACACCGAACTTATCTCGTCTCAGGGACAATCGACGACGCAAATAATACACGTTACATGTAGAATGCGTATTTGGCGAACGTTATCAGTGTTAATGAGTAGCATATCCTAGTGTACACATAGATTATTTCACCGATGCCCGAAATTCTCAGATTCTTCCGATAAGTTTACCGTGTCGGTAAATATTTTTCTTCTTTTCGAGAGAGCACAAAGATGTTCGTGAGCTGATTAATTGTCCGTACAGCGTGTTTCCTGGTTCAAGTATATACTTTTATATGTTTTATTACACGTTTATTTTGTCAGGCTGCCTTTCATGTGTAAAAATGATTCATCGTAAACTGCTCAGATAAGATTTCGGTCTTGTGCATTACTTATCGGTCGAGGAACAGTTGTCCTCGACTGTTTTATCGATCGTGCATCCAAATTGCGTTCGACCTTTCGGTTGGTCCACGTATAAACATCATTAAGCGCTTAGGTGTCTCGGCAGAGTTCGTTTAATGCTTATAACGTGACTGACCGAGGAAGTAATGCGGAAATTTAGTACAAAGAAAACGTTCGTATCTTATCAATCCCTCTAAGAGGCTTTTCTCTTTTCGACTAGCTAGACTAAGCGTGTAAAATGTTTACGAGGGTATCGTAACAGAGATCCATTATGCGTCCGTCGTTGGTTCCAATTTTTCCACGGCTAATTGCGTCCTCAAAAGCTGACCTCGACGAAACACTTCAGGGCGAACGACCTTTAAACTTGAGTCAGGGTTCGTTGGCCCGAACAGAGGGAAACAACGAGGTGCTCATGAAGGGACGCATCGTGGAATCGACGCGGGAAGCGAAGTCGAGGAAGTAGCATAGATAAAGCGCGCACGCAAAAGAGGTTTGCAGACGATTTGAGTTTGCTGAGAGACGAAGAAAAAAATTGTGTAGTGGTTTTAAATATTTCTCAAACGTTACATAAAGAACTGAAGAATGCGGTAAAAGCTGTATGCATGTCGAAACACGTATATACGTTACGCTAGACCTCTTTTAACCTCTAAAATATAACGCGTAGGTATTGATGAATCATTCATGAATGTTTTTTAGTATTATTATTTATATACATATTTAGTGTATTAGAAAAAATTGGACACCCTGTATATGGTCAGAGGCTTCTGTTTATACACGGACGAAGCGCGGTGGTGTGGCTTGCACGTGAGAGAGTCAAATCGAGGACGAAGACGATTGAAATGAGGAAAAGTAACGGGGCGAGTAACGGGTTGAATTTAACGCATCTTGCCGTTACGAGCACGTTTGTAAGCCTAGTTGTTAGGTCACAGTAGATCATGTAACATCGCGACCCGATGCATGTTGATAATGTACGCCTGTCACAATGGCCATGCACCTATTTCCGCTTTGCAAGAGGATGCACAGTTTTTATTACTATTGAAGGTAAATATCGATCTAATCGGTAAAAAGAAAACCTAACTAAACCAGTAATATTTATATTTTCTTGCAATAAAGTTTAAAGCTCTTGTTTCTTGATAACTGCGCTATCTCGATTAAGGAATCTATAGCGATAACTAACGTCTTCTATAGAATCTCGAACGTATACGTGAGTATACGTAAGAAAATGGAATAGCGTCATATTTCCAAGAACATTACCGCAGTATTCCGGGAAATTTGTCGCACTATTACCCGTGTGAATGAATTGACGTAATACGGTTTCCGAAATTCCGTTACTTATTATTGAAGTAGAACACATTTTTATCGTGTCTGTTGTTTATTTACTTTAAAAAAGATTAGTTGAATTTGTAGTATTAAATGTAAGTCACAAAATTAATAAACAAGACACAGTGTAGGCTGTTAACCAAATGTATTTTATTTTTCAATATCCCCGGTTACTAAGATGGCTCCGGTGTCCGTCTCGTTCGACGGTTATAACCAAAGTGCCCTCTCCTATGCCTGCGTCGCTCCGAAAAACTGTTGAAGCCTCCTAGCCCAACTGTCCTGGGAAAGGGCTTAATTTGACACCCTCAAGTATCCGCGCGCTTTCTCTTCCGGTGACCCTGGGTGACAAAGACCAGGTCACCATTTCGTCGCTTAAATCTCGCGTTCCTTACATAAATGTATTTTGCAAAGGTGAATGATTATCCTAACAAGAAGTAGCAAATTACAATTTAAATCTTCAAAAATTTGAAAATTTAAAAATTTGAAAATTCTAAATATAGTTTTCAAAATTATGATTCAAATGAAAACAAAATTAATGCCCTCTGTACATACCGCAAACACGATCGATCATATTGAACGCTCGAATATTAATCGACGAAACATTGTTCTTTTGCCCGCCAAACTTCGGAACACTCAACCGCGCAAGTACAACACAGTGGGAGAACGCCGCGATCTTCGTGGGGGTTAAACGTGGTGGGGAACGTTCGAAGGAGCGGGTTAAACGTGAGGCAGCTAGGCTACCAGCGCGTATATACCGGTACTATTGGCATGTTCCGGCAAACACGCGTTTCGAGCTCTTACGAGCGTTACGTTCACTGGTCAAACTCTCAACGTGTCTCTTTGGGGATGATTCCGTCTAATTTGCGAGTGTACCACCAGAGCACGCGATCAGCCAAATGGCTTACGTAAGTTGCGCGGTAACGTTCATTACCACAAGTAAACCGTACGCATCTTATTCAGTTACACCGTGAGTATTATCCAAGAGAAGATCCGAACTGGTGACAACGTTTTTGACAAGCTGTAGCCACATTCACGTGAATCCGATTCACGAGAGTCACCTTTAGCGGGGCACGGCACTCTTTCGTTTCATTTCACGAACACGAAATAGAGTTGCCGGCTCTTGGCTCGTTCACTCGACAGTAACGCGTCTTCTTCACCGTTTAAGTCAATGACATAAACCATGAATAGTGCTGGTATATATAATAATCAAGCATCGAGTTCATTGAGAGTTTGTTCGTTATAAAAGGAATCCGACGAGAACGAACTATTAAACGATAAAAGTGTGTCGTACATCAAATACGAACTCGGTAACGAACGTGGCGGTGACCCAGAAACGATTCGAAGTGGTAACTTTATCATTACAGTAGACGAATCTCGCAACGGTGCCAAGAAAAAAATGAAGTGGGGGTTTGAGGAATGCGAACGTTGTTCTTTCAACTAGCTAAACGAGAGAACGAGACACGTTTGGACTTTGAAGTTGATCAACGATTATGAAATTCACGACACCGAGCGATATATTTCCTTTAAACTATCCGTGAACGTAAAAAATCGTGACGTATGTTCGAACGACTAATTGTATTAACCTATACATTTTCGAGAGCTTCGATTCGAATCACGGACGAAGAAAATTGAGAAGAAAATATTAAACAACACTCGAATAACGAGAATACGAAAAGAAGCCGGTCAAAGTCAAATGCAGCGGTGGTCGTTGGCGGCAACAACGGACGAGGATCGTTCGAAATATGCGTTGGAGTTTCGTTTCTGCGATTCATCTGGTTCATGGTTAAAGACTTGGTGGCAACGGTCGAGTCTTCCATCTATAAAGCGTGTAGTTCAGGTTCGCCGTGGAGTTGACGCACTAGCCGCGATCGTTGCATGATATCTCGTGTTTTTTGGAATACGCGGCTCGTGTGTGTGTTCCAGCTTCGCGTCTCGTGCCCGTATTTTATGACTGGTATTGACGGACAGAAATTGAATCGAGCGCGCGTCGTAAGTGCGGTGAGGTATAAACAAAGTGTTGTGGCTTGATCACGCGGTGAAGATGGAGGATACAGAAGCGAGAATCACGCCGGGGATCAGCATGTCCGTATTCGTACTGGTGAGCACGTTGTTTCTCGGCGGTGTGCTCCTCGTGATCAGTTACATCGTTAGCCGGTTGTCACGGTCCAACAAATCTACGGATTCGACGAAAAGTAAGCATTGCCATTGTGAAATTCACTCTAGCGACACTTCGCTATAGTTCCTGGATGGAAACCACGCTTGCGTGCTCGCAAACCCCTCATGCTGTCCAGTGCGATTCATCTTCCCCTTTTTCTATTCTGCGTTTTCACTCGCAGATCGCAATAATCATACTCGACTAAATATATTGAACGAATCACGCAACATATAGTACATTTACGTTTCATAAACCGGGAAAAAATTCCTCTCGTCTCATTATCTATGATTCCACGTGAACTTATAACAATAAATCCATTTTTTTTATACTCACAATACATTCTTAGCGTTTTTGATCGTTGATCGCTAGCAAATTACCTGTTTACAAACTGTTAATTGCTATCGCGTGTGGAATATAATCAAACATGTGCACTGTGTACTTGAAAGAAACTCTGCAGTGAAAATGTTAACCAGTTCGAAATAAATCGTTCGAGATGAGTTACGCGGTATAACAGTAACGATGGTGAGCGTCGCGAGACTCCTCGTAATACATTGTTCAATCCATTCTCATGTTAATACGAGCGAAGAATTGGCGGGAAATTACGCTTTTGCGAGAATGCAGTTTCATCGACCATGTGTTGGTTATCTGAAATTCGTTGCCGCGCAAACAATTTCCGTGTGAGTATACTAATGTGCAGTGGCTGACGATATTGTATGCAAAGGAGTTTGTTTCGTTTTGCCATGGCAATTTAGAACATTTCCGCATTATAATTTTGCTGCAATCATACGCTGTACTATTTCAATTAATGCGCATTTTACAAATGGCACGTTTTCAGCTGGTCTACAAATAAGTTCTCAGTACTGTATGTACTTAAGACACGTTTCGTGATAATACGAGTCATTACGACAAAAAAAAAGAACGTTTCGTTGGAAAGCGAAAAGATTAAGGCGGCGTACTATGGACGTGTTAAGACACACGAAATCTTGATTGCTCTCGTTAATATTCTCTCGCTGATCGAAATAAAAGTAGCGCGTCGGCATGGCGCGCAGCTTTTCGCTGCAGGGAAAAGAATAGACCGGTTAAATGGAGGGGGTACAGACGCACGGTATGGGGTGAATGAAAAGAGACAAAGAGGGAAGCGCAGCTGCGTCAGCACGCAATATTTCGTGCTGGAACACACTTCACTCTGCTTCTCGAACAAAGTGGACTGAACCGTATGTTTTTCCATACTTCAAAGACACAAAACGATAATGTGTAGTCGCTTGGTACACACTATGAAAACTTCATTGTTATTAACCTGTTAACTCAGATCATTTCCCAATGAAAAATTATAACTATTATATGTAACAGTTGCTTTATAACAATACTTATTACTCTACGAAAAATTTTGTATGAATTATATATTCCACAAGAATAACCTTTTTATAAGATATAAGAAGACTTTGTGAGCAGCTATGGTATCCTCTTTGAGGGTTAGGTTCGCTAGTATCACCATACTGCCTCTCCTTTACTTTCTCTTTCCCGTTTATTGATTCATATTCTCTACTACGATAGACTGTAAACGATAAAAGCAAAGAAACAAAGAGAAGGAAAGGGTAAAGAGTCAAACATGAATACAGAAGAATGATCTTATTAAATGAATAATTATTCATTAACAAATATAATGTAGTTTAATATAACGCATTAACTGAATCGCAGTCAAGTTCATAACGGACTCGCCGTGAAGCGAAATTAGCGATACCCCGAGCGGCGTTGAAAGCGCGATCTTGAAAACTGGAACTCGAAACTCGCGTTTCTCGCATGCGATTATCAAAGCGTGTCGATCAGAGGAGGCGGCCCATGTGACTTCTTTGCACATCGTTACTGAATCTTCGTCGCCGTGACAATGAATTTACCACCGGAAAAGAAACACAAACGTGGTAGTTTTCTGTGCATTGTGCTCACTTCTGCAAGAGAGCATGGGTTATAGAAAGGTCTTGGGCGGGGGGGCACACAACGGGCACCCTTGCGTATAAATAAACCGACACCGCGCGTGTGTATTTATACGCGCGTCTCGCGTGCGTACACGTGTACTTACGAGGAGAAACGCGCTCAGGGCCGTACGGACAAATACGCCTGACGAATGGACAATCGACGGCCGACCTGTAGGGACCTTTTTTCCTCGAGGACCTTCTATTTATGGCAGGAGGAAGTTAGGCACGTTTCCGTCGTTCATCCGTGATTCGCGACCCCGTGAATTGCTTTACCGACGGAGGAAGACGTTATCGCATTCGAAATTAGATGGACTTCGAGATCGGAATATATTTTTCCACGAATGTATGCTCTCATCTGATTGATTGTTTAGGGATTATACAGATAAGCGTTAATTGGTTAATTTTGCGACACACGAGCTAGATGTTATACTACACATTTTTTTGTAGTACATTTTAACCTATTAACTGGGAAAGATGAATTAATTCATCATTGGATTAACCAATGCTTATAACACAGATTCCTCATTTTTAGTTACACTATTGCGTCTATATTAAATATAAAATATATCATATTCACATTTGCAAAAAGAAAAATAAAGTAGCAGGGTACAATTTTTACACATTTTTAAATATAGAGTAAAGAGATTTAATTCTTTTTTTATATGTGAAGTTAGTTAATGGGGTAATAATATTTAACCTTATTTAGCATTTCTAAATTTATAGCATTTCAAGATTTATAGCAACTTCTACCTGCGTAATTGGCATTTATATTAACTAGTAAAATACTTTGCTGGTTCTACACGTTGAAAATAATTTTAATATTGATACGAAAACAGGGAAAGCTGGGATCACGCGATTTCTGTGTCCCATTGCAGTGAAGAACATAAATTTGTCGCAGTGCGCTACATTTTCCGGGCCAGTGCGGCAAAACACACGTCCCTGAAAACTCGCGACACGCACTGCGAATAGTGCACTGACCGCAGACAACTATTTCTATTTGTCGATCGCTTTTGCTTTCTCCGTTAGGTAAAAAGAAAAAAATCTACTGGTTGACATATATGCGCGTGCATATATGCGATGCAGCCGAGCAAAAAATGGCTTAAATAAAAACTATATAGCACCAAGAAACAAATATATAATGCATCTTCTTGTATATGTACGTTTTAATTGAAATATGAAGCTTTTAATATTTTATACCACGTAGAAATAAATATTCTTATTTTATCATATTAAGAAAGTTTCTCTTAACCTCTTTGGTAACATAGACACATATGTGTACGTTTAGTTTTCTTAAAAATTCAAATATTTGTGATAGAAAAAGTATGAAAATATAGTGAATAAACTATTCATTACACATAATTTAACAAGAAAAACAATTTAATTAATATTTATTTAAAATGTATAAAATATAATTACATAA